CAGGGTGGCTGCGCTGCTGCCCACACCCCTCTCACCTTTGCACCCACCAGGACCCAGGACACACTGGAGGCCAGCAAGTCTGTCCGCAGCCTCATCCTTCTGCAAAGTCCATCTTACCCTCCTCTTTCTCTGCACCCTAGGTCACCCCTCCATTCCAGGGACATTCACTGAGCACCCAGCACAGGCTGGGCGTGGTGCTGAGCTCTGGGAAGCAAAGAGCAGATATGGGCCTATCGTAGAGCTTACCGTTGAGGAAGGGAGATTGGCATTAGCAATTTAATAGAAGTTAGATGACAGCTGTGATAGTGCTGGGCAATGTGTGTGCTTGGGGACTGAAGTCTGGCTGAGTTGGGGAGGGGGCGGGGCCAGCAGGGCATGGCAGGCACTGGCCACGGGGAGCAGAGGCAGGGCTTCTGCAGGAGAGCAAGCCGGCCAGCTGTGAGCTGGGGAGAACGCCCCCCTCCCCCTGGCCACTTCCACATGCCCCATTTGATCTCTCCCCTCCAGCCTGGTGGGGATACAGTGGTGGGTTGGGGTTGGGGTTGGGGCTATTTCTGAGGTGCCAGCCCCATCTGTCACGCCTCACTCAGCCATCTGAGTTCTGTCCCCTCCTTTGGGCTCTATCCCTACAAAAGAAACAGGCTGGCCTGGCTGGCATGGCTCAGTGGTTGAGCATTGACCTATGAACCAGGAGGTCACGGTTCAATTCCCGGTCAGGGCACATGCCTGGGTTGCATGCAACCAATGAATGATTTTCTCTCATCATTGATGTTTCTCTCTACCTCTCTCTCTTTCTCTGAAATCAATAAAAAAATATATTAAAAAAACAAAAAACAAAAGAAACAGGCTGAAGTCCTCTCTGTGGAAAAATGCCCCTCCCCTCACTGTTAAGCTGCCACCTGTCCTCATATTGGAGCCCCACTTTGCTGCCTTGTCCCCACGCCCACAGCTCTCTGCAGACACTTGTTGCACCCTGGATGTCCTGCCGCTGACCACTTCCTTCTCCAAATGCACTGCTCACTTCCTGAGCTTCTAGAAGGTCACTTCCTCCTTTATTTTGGTCTGTGAACACATCCAAGCAATTTCAGCCTCAGGTTCTTTGCAGGTGCCAGTGTCTCTGCCCAGAATGCGGGCCCCTCTCCCAGGCCGGAGCCGCGCCCCTTACAGCACATCGTGCGCCTTATGGATCTTTACTTGTGTATTGTCTGCCTCTCCAGACCCAAGAGAGCTGCTCGTCTTCATTTCCAGGGTCTGTTGGCCTCCATGTGTGTGCATGTGTGTGCGTGTGTGCGTGTGTATGTGTGTGTGGTAGGTCGGATTAATATTGTGGATTTTTTTCAATAGATGGAGTTACACATATGTTGATATATATGCGATTTGATATGTATGCTATTTTGTTGTATTGACAACAAGCTTCAAAACTTCATATGCCAAATTTTCTGAAGATGTTAACATCATAGATATTTTTATGCTTAAAAATGTCGAATTTTGTGCCAAAAAAAGAGCATTTGCAGAAAGTTTTAATTCATTACTTTATTTTGAAGAAAAGTGCTGCTGAAAGTGATCGTATACTTCGGGAAGCTTATGGTGAACTTGCTCCATCTCAAGATACTCGTGAACGCTGGTTTAAATGCTTTAAAAGTGCCGAAACCGGTTTGGCTCAGTGGATAGAGCGTCGGCCTGCGGACTGAAAGGTCCCAGGTTCGATTCCGGTCAAGGGCATGTACCTGGGTTGCGGGCATGTCCCCAGTAGGAGATGTGCAGGAGGCAGCTGATCGATGTTTCTCTCTCATCGATGTTTCTAACTCTCTATCTCCCTCCCTTCCTCTCTGTAAAAAATCAATAAAATATATTTTAAAAAAAATAAATGCTTTAAAAGTGATGATTTCGATGTGAAAGACAAAGAACGTCCAGGTAAACCGAAAAAGTTTGAAGACCAACAATGACAAGCATTATTGGATGAAGGTGCGTGTCAAACTCAAAAACAACTTGCAGAAAGATCAAATGTTGCTCAGCAAATAATTTCTGATTGTTTACAAGCAATGGGAAGGATTTTAGAGGAAGGAAAATGGGTGCCACATCAACTGAATGAAACACAAATGGAAAACTGAAAAGTCATCAGTAAAATGTTGCTTCAACCGCATGAAAGAAAGTCTTTTTTGCATCGATTGTGACTGGCAATGAAAAGTGGATTTATTTTGAGAATCCCAAACGCACAAAATCATGGGTTGATCCAGGTCAACCATCAACATTGACTGCAAGGCCAAATCGCTTCAGAAAGAAGACACTGCTCTGCATTTGGTGGGATCAGGAAGGTGTGGTGTGTTATGAGCTTCTAAAACCAGGTGAAACCGTTAATACTGATCACTAACGACAACAAATGATCAATTTGAACCACGCTTTGATTGTTAAACAACAAAAATGGGCCAGAAGACACGGCAAAGTAATTTTGCTTCATGATGACGCACCATCACACACTTCAAAACCAGTTACAGACACGTTAAAAGATCTTGCCTGGGAAGCATGAACCCACCCGCCGTATTCACCAGACCTTGCTCCTTCAGATTACCACTTGTTCCGATCGACGGCACACGCACTTTATGAGCAGCACTTCCAAACGTAGGAAGAAGTGGAAAATTGGGTCTCTGAATGGTCTGCCTCAAAACAAGAAAAGTTCTATTGGGACGGTCTCCACAAATGACCTGAAAGATGGGGGGATGTGTAGCTAGCGATGGACATGACTTTGAACAAAGCGCTTTTGATGTTTCTCTTGAAATTATTGTGTTTTCTTTGTTTACAAAAATCTGCATTTTTAACCGGTTGATGATTAAACTGCACTATTAACCGGTTGATGGTCGATCCGCACTGTTAACCGGTTGATGGTCGATCCGCACTGTTAACCGGTTGATGGTCGATCCGCACTGTTAGCGGGTGATGGTTGATCCTTACTGTTAACCGGTGCACCTAGTACCTGCTGGAGGAGAGGTCGGCGGCTTCGGGAGCTCCGGTGCGCGGTGGCTTGCTGGTGCCCAGTGTGTGCGCTCATGAGAGCTACAGAGCATGCGCCGTGTGTTCCCAGGTCGGGCCACCTGGCATGTGTACCCGGTCAGGTATGTGGACCGGCTTTGGGCTCAATCACGCGCCGAGCCCGCGTCTCTGATGGGTTCCCTGCTGTGCGGGACGGTGTCTTGTGAGTAGGGGTCGTGGGGGACAGAGAGGAGAGTGAGCAAGGAGAACGCGTCCCGCACTGACGAAACCCGCGCCTGCGCAGTGCCCGCGCGATGGAGCCCAACAGTCAGGAGCCCAGGCTCCCGGCCGCCCGGGGCGGGGCCGCGCGCGGGGCGGAGTTTGCGCACTGCCGCTCGTTGGGGCTCGGTGGGCGGGGTGCGAGCGAGAGGGACGCGCCTCCCACCAATGAACGCAGAGATCGCAGGGGGGCGTGCCCGTGCCGCCGCGCGCCGGGTCTCGATTGGCGGATAGTGGCCGCGAGGCGGGATCAACACGAAGCCCCGCCCACTCTCGCGCGTCAAGGCGGGAGGGCTGCACCCGGGCCGCTGCGGCCGCTCCTCCTGAGGTAAACGGCGGGCGGGGACCGGGGCCCTCAGCCCCCGCTCGGGAGGCGCCCCTCGGGGAAGCCCGCGCCCGGGAGTGGGGGGTGCCGCCTCGTCCGGGTCGCGCTGGAGGCCGGGTCAGGGGGGCGCTTCCCCAAGGTCACCGGGGAGCGCGGGGAGGTCCCGGGTTTGCGGGACCGAGCCCGCCCCCTCCGGGCTCAGGTGCGCCAGGTCCCGCGGGGCCTGGTGGCCCCGTCACCACCCGGAAGAGAGTCTCGGGCGCTGCCCGCCGCCTGCTTCCTCACGCCGGTGCGGGTGCACGTCCCCTGCCGGGAGGCACGCGGGCCCCGGTCCGATCGCTCGTCACCCGCCCGGGGCCTGGGCTCCACGTCCTGCTGCCCGAGGGGACTTCGGGGACCTGAGTGTGAAGCTGAGCCCCGAGCTCGCGGCCCGGTGTCCTCTCCCTTCTCCCTGCGACGCGAAGGGGAGCGAGGCCGGGAGGCAGGTGCGGGCCGATCACGAGGCTGCGGGTCAGCGCGGCCGCGCGGGGCGGGATCCCGGACTCAGCCCCGGTGGGCGCCGGCGGAGCCCCCGCCCGGACTGGGGCTCTGGGGCTGCGGCCTCGCCGAGGTTCCCCTTCGCCGGCGGGGGCCGGGGGGGGGGGCAGAGGGCTCAGGGGTGCCGGTCGGCGCCGGGGGAGGAGGCGGCCGCAGGAGGGAGGCCGGGCACCCGCAGTCCCGCCCGCCGTGCTGTCCCCGCTCGGCTCCGGCCCCGGCCTCCAGGGAGCAGGCAGGCGCTCTCCTCCCGGGGGTCAGCGGAGTGACCCGAGCGGAGCCGCCCGGCGTGTCCTCGGGGGTCCCCGTGGGGTGCTCATGTGTGAGATGCGGAGCCCATGCGTGTGCCCGGGCCGCCGGTGCGTGTGCGGGAGGCGCGTGTCCGCTTGTGGACGGCTGGGGCCCAGCCCGTCTCTGATGGCCCCGCTCGGGACGGGGGTCCTGTGTGCCGGCGCCTGCGGTGTCAGTGTCCGAGGGGGGCCCAGGCGCCTGGAGCAGGAGACCCTCCCCAGGCCCAGGTGAGCGGTGGGGCTGCTGCCTGGGGGTGCGCAGCGGCCCCTGCACCAGCTTCGCGGGACCCCCTCCAGGTGGGGACCTCCTCCAGGTGGGGTCCCTCTCCAGGTCAGGGCTCCGGGGGTGCCCTGTGGCTTCTGTGCTCAGGGAATTGTGGCTTCTGGACGCGTGAGAAATGAGCTTCTTCACGGAGCTGCAGGCCTGGCTGTGGGGGCTGCCTGGTGGCTTGTGTTGTGGGGGGGCGGGGGCTGTGACAGCCCAGGTTCTTGGCGATTCTGGGAGTTGACTGCTCGGGCTCCGTCAGGAGGGCCTGCTGGGGGGGGGGGGGGGGAGCATCCTCTTGACCCAGAACTGGGTCCTGACTTCCCAGGCTCCCAGCGCACCACCCCTCCAGACAGACTCACCTGGGCGCACCCGCACCCGGGGCTGTGGGAATGTGCGGAGGTGCCTAGGGCGTCGGCTGAAGGCCTTTGGATGCCTGAGCGCCAGGAAGCTGGTTCTTTACTCCTGTGTCTGATGCAGGGAGGGAAGGCCTGCCCCCATGACCTGGCCCTGGGGTGGAGAGGGGGGGCAGCCAGTCCTGGTTGAGTCCTGCCCCACCACTAACTAGCTGCTAACTGACCGTGTGTCCCAGACCCGCTCAGCCATGCAAATGGCAGGTGACGGTGCCGTCAGCGTCAGCGCCTCCTTGCAGGACGCGGGGGCCTTCCAGCCCCTGCCTGTTTGTGCACCCCCTTCCCCTTGGCGTGTGGGCCTCGCTGGCCATCAGCGTGCTCATAGGTCTGTCGTGGAGGGCAGGGCGGTGGTGCTGTCATCCCCGGAGTGTCCAGTGCCATCCTACAGACCACCGGGCCTCTCTCCAAAATCAGTAAAAACCTGTATTTAAAGACGCATTGAAGGCAGCACGGTAGAGTGTTGGTTGTTTACCCTGTGCCCGTGGCTGCCCGGAGCTGCGTACCACTAGCCCGAGAAAGCACATCAGAGTTACGGCTCCGGACAGTGTCCACTCCACGGAACACGACTGCTTTTGACCCTCGGGAAATGGAACGATTGTAAGTTGAAGCATCGGAAGTCAGGGACTGTCCGTATTTAGTTTTTCTCTTTTGGTCTGTTACTGTGAATTACATTGGCTGCACATAAAAATACTGAGCTAACCTTGTATTCATAGGATAAATCCCATTTAGTCATGGCATATCCTTTTTTACATATTGGATATGATTTGATAAAATATTGTTCAGAATTTTTGCATTTGTATCTATGAAGGATATTGGTCTATAGTTTTATTATGTTTTCTTTATTGTTTTTGTCTGGTTTTATTATCAATCTAATGCTGGCCTCTGTCAGTTGGGAAGTATTCCCTTACTTTTCATTTTCCTGGAAGAATTTGTGTCGAGTTGGCATTATCTCTTCCTTATCAAGAGAGGAGTGTTGGAATCTCTACTATAATTTGGATTTGTGTATTTCTCCTTGCATTTTTATTAGTTTTGGCTTTGTGTATCTTGAAGCTCTATGATTAGATGCGTAAGTGTTTAGGATTGTATGTCTCTGAAATCTACTTTGCCTGATATTAATGTAGACACTCCAGTTTTCTTATAACTAGTATCCGCTTCATTTTTCTATTCCATCCTTCCACTTTAACTTCATGTTAACATATTCAAGTTTTGACTATGGCTTCTTCTTTTTTTAAACTCTTTTAAAAAATTTTTATTTTATTGATTTCTTTTTGAGAGAGAGAGGCAGGGAGAGAGAGGGAGCGATTTGTTGTTCCACTTATTTATGGGTTCATCGGTTGATTCTCGTCTGTGCCCTGACCAGGGATTGAACCCTCAATCTTGGACTATCGGGAGGATGCTCTAGGCAACTGAGGCGCTGCCTGGCCAGGTTGCCCATGGTTTCTTGAATATGTGAGATACAGTTATAATAACTGTCTACATGTTCTTGTCTATTAACTTTTCCTCTGCATCATTTCCAGTCAGTTTGCATCGATTGGTTCACCCTCGTTATGGGTTGTATGTATATTTGCTTCTTTGAATGCCTGGTAATTTTTATTGAATGTCAGACATTGCTATTTTACCCTGTTGGATAGTTTTGTGTTCCTGTTATTCCTGAGCTTGGTGCTGGGATGTGGCTAAGTTACATGGGAGTGGTTTGACCCTTCTAGGCCTGCTTTTAGCTTTGTTAGCTGAGACTATGGTGTTTAGTGTGGGACTCATTTTATTCTTTACTGAGGCAAATCTTTTTTTTTTGTAAAGCTAGAATTTATTTCTATTTAAAAAATGCTCAAGAGACTTTAAAAAGGCCCAAGGGTGTCCAGGTTTAAGGCCATCCTGAGTTTCAGTTCCTTCCTTACTGAGGCAACAATTTGATCCATGTTAATAAAACACCCCAATAATTCGGGTTGAATCATGGTGATTTCCTCTGACTCCCAGTATCTTTCATAAATGGCCATCAGCTTATGAACGATGAAACATGTAATACCAGAAATAATCACGAAACGTCTTCAGGTTCTACTTGAATATCCTTTCTGCATTATTCTTCGCAACCAGGCCCAGTGATTATCAGTTTGAGTGGCAGAGATCATGAGTGGTACCTGAGAGACTGGTATTAAGTGCAGCCCTTTTAGAACAGAAACCAGCAGACACCCTTCAAGACGAAACACCCCAGGCAAATCCTTTTTATTTTATTATAATTTAATTTTTAAAAGAATAGTTTATTGATTTTTAGAGAGAGAGGAAGGGAGAGAGAAAAAGAGAAACATCAATGTGAGAAACATCCATTAGCTGCCTCCTGCACGCCCCCTACTGGAGATCGAGCCCACAACCCAGCATGTGCCCTGACCCGGAATCAAACCAGCAACCTTTCGGTGCACAGGATGATGCCAAACCAACTGAGCACACTGGCCAGGGAGAGGCACATTTCTTGTGTGTGCTCTTCCTGCTGCCCTGGGAGTTCTGGTGCCCCCTCTGGCTGCCAGGAGCTCACGGGATTTTTTCTGCGCACCTGTTTGGGTGGCTCTCCTGGCCTGGGATTTTCTTCTCAAACATGGTGGTGTATTCGTTTTCTAAGGCCGCTGTAACAAGTAACCACAAACATCACTGCCTAAACAGCAGACACTTATTATCTTTTCTTTTTTTACAAAATTTTTAAATTGATTTCAGAGGGAAAGGGAGAGGGAGAGAGAATCATTGATTGCTGCCTCATGTATCCCCCACACTGGGGATCCAGTCTGCAACCTGGGCATGTGTCCTGACTGGGAATCCAACCGTGAGCTCCTATTCATAGGTTGATGCCCAACCACTGAGCCATACTGGCTGGGTAGACACTATCTTAAAGCCCTTGAGGTCAGTAGCCTGCCAGGGATCTCACCGGACTAAGTTCCTTCCTGGGGGCTCCGGGGAGGATCCTTTTCCTACTGTTTTGGGTTGTTGGTAGAATTTTGTTCTTTGTGTGTGTAGGACCGAAGTCCCTGTTTGCTTGCTGGCTATAAGCTGAGGGATGTTTCCAGCTCCTGGAGCCACCCACGTGCCTTGGCTTGGAGCCTCCTCCCTCCATCCCCAAAGCCAGGCGTGGAAGGTTGAGTTCTGGCAGGGCTTTGACTGCCTCCTCCTCTGGCCTCTCCTTCCCCCGCTGAAATAGGCTGTCTGCTTTTAAGGACTCACCCACATAGTCCAGGGGAACCCCACCCCAGTCTGTACCCTTAATTCCATCTGCTAGATCCCTTTTGCCTCCAAACCTACCATAGTCACAGGTTCTGGAGAGGACGGACTGGGCATCTTGGGAACGTGATTCTGCTGCCCCGCACTGCCCAATATAACAACCGAGTGACCAGGGACCCTGTGCAGGTCTCTGGAATTCTCTCTGGTCCTAAAGCTGCAAAGTCCAGCAGGCCTAGGCCTCTGGAGACTGCCCCAGGCCACCTCCTCAGCCCCAGGGGTATGGCAGCTCGGCCTGAGAGGGCCCTCCCGGCAGTGAGCTGGGGTGACCTCCGGTCCCTTGCCCTTCACTCCTGATGTCCACCACCATTTGTTTTGTCCAGTTTTCCAGTTGTTTGGCTGGGAGGAACTGGGTCCATTACTCCCATGGGGCTGGGAGCTGACGTCTCTTATGCTGACTTATTTTCGTTTGCTCCTGTTTGGGTTGGCTGAGCATGGCCCTTCGCACTCCTATCAGAGGCCTTCCCAGCTGGGTGAGTTGGAGCTGGTTTAGCCCTTGTTTTGTCGAAAGCACTGGAGACAGGCAGCTGTGGCTTTTCACGGGGCAAAGCCTCTGCCCAGGCACGGGCTGCCCACCTCCTGGACTAGACCAGGTCTGGGAACGCAGGATTGGGTTCCCTCTGAGGGGTGCCGCCTTTTGAAGTGGGTTCTGTGGGCCCTTTCAGGAGCCTCACGACCACCTGACAGCCACGGTGCTTTTCCGCCCTCAGCCTGTGGGGTTTGAGGTTTTGCCTTTTCCTTGCTCTGCCCAAACGGAATACATATTTTTATTTCTTGTTTTCCTTGTGATGTTCAACTGCTTTCCAGAAAGAAAGCAGAAATGCCCTGTGGATCCATCCTCTTCAAACCAGTCTTCTCCATTTTCTTCCTGTCCGCCTGGGATCCCTGGAAGTTTCTGGTCTGCCAATTTCATCTTTCTTGTTTTCTAGTGCTCTTGTGAGTTTACTCTCTTAAAACACACCCCTCTCCTGTCACTACCCTGAGTCGTGGTGACGGGTGAATGTGTAGGATCCATCTGCCACCTTGAACTGGATTCTCCCATATTTGATTCCCCCCCCACCCCCCACCCCCACCCCCCACCCCCCCCACCCCGCCTCACGCTGCCTCTTCCCGCCTGTGCACAGGCACACAGTGGCGGCACCGCAGTCCTGGTGAAGGGAACAAAGGGCAGTGGGCTCACCAGCGAGCGGAGGACATGTGTGTTCGGAAGCAGGTGGCTGCTGCACCAAGGGCCTGGGCCCGCTGACCTGACAGCTCCTGGGAGAGTATGACGGAGGCCTGAGGGTGGCGAGGCGGTGGCGGTCGGAGGCCCTGCATGGTTAATGGAGGTGGTGGTTTGGTGCTTGGAGGCACCTGATGTTTGAAAGTTGCCCCTCTCAACTCCGCGGGCTGTGGTTTCAGGTGCTGCTTGTCCAGCCCTCTCAGCCCCCAGGGGCTCGTTTAATCTCCGCCTGGGGGACCCTGGCTCAGCGGCTCAGGGCCCTGTTCTTGGCCCTCAGGTTTCCCTGCCACACACAACCCCCAGGACCCCAGGCCTTAGTACGTCCTGACCTTCAGAGTGAAGGCAGGTGCTGTGGGAGAAGGCAGTGACCTCGCCTGCCCAGGGATGGGCCTTGGGGGCCGACAGCTGCTGCAGGACCTCGGGTGCGGGACAGGAGAGCTGGGACCAGCGGGACCTGCGGAGGGGAGGGCGGTCTTCCTCCCCGCGAGCAGCCCAAGCGCAGCAGAGACCGCCCCCCAGAACCCCGCATTTAAGTTGTGCTCTTTTCGCAGACATAGTGACTGCCCGCGATGCGATGCGATCCAGGAGGCTGTGAATTCAGTTTTGTGCCCTGGTTACGCCAGGTTTGAGAAGGCGCTGTCCATGTTCGCACCGGGCGAGAGGAAGCCGAGACCTCCGAGACCCCCGCGATGAGCGAGCCCTACGTGAAGAGTGAGTGCAGTGGTGGGCGGGCCCTGGAGGCGCCCCACCCGCTCCAGCACCAGGTCTGAGTCCTCCCACCGGCCTGAGCACGCACGTGGGCTTTGTCGCTGCAGAGCTGTCCACCATCCTGCTGGACTCCGTCACCGACAAGGACCCCCTGGTGCAGGAGCAGGTATGCAGCGCCCTGTGTGCCCTTGGGGAGTCGCAGCCAGAGGAGACGCTCAGCGCCTGCGAGGAGCACCTGCGGCAGCACGAAAAGGTGTGGGACCAGGGCACGCCTTGCCGTTCTTGGGGCGGGGCCTGTGGTGTGTGGACAGTGTATTGAGATTGGGCTGTGGGCGGGGCGTGTAGGGTCAGCTTGCTCTGGGGGTGGGGCCTGCACTATGGGGGCGGGGCCTTGAGGTCTGAAGGGAGGGGCTGGGCACATAAGTCACTGGGCAGGAAGCTGAAGTCCAAGCTCTCTCCAGGCTAGGCACTAGGGGGGCAGAGGGGGGGTCTGAGGGTTGGTACCGTCCCGAGACTGGGTGTTCAGCTGCAGCTCCTGTCGCTGGCGAGCCAAGGCCTAGTGTGGCCATCCCCTTTCACTCACTGGCTGGAGACTGGATGGCTCTCCCTGCCAGGGTCTGTGCTGTCCCAACCAAGGGAGAGAAAGCCATTCATCAGCTACAATGACAGGAGCACGTGGGCAGGGGTGGGAGGTGGGCACACCCTCCAGAGTGGGCTGCGGAGGAGGGCAGGGCCTTCTACAGACTTGGCTGACTTATCAGAGGCAGGACAGGCTCTGGGGCTGCCTGTTGGCTGTACGGTGGTTCCCCTTATCCACAGTGGAGACGTTCCAAGACCCTCAGTGGACGCCTGACTCTGAGATGGTATTGAGCTCTGTACACACTGTTTTTCCTGTACCTACACGCCTTGCGCTTAGTGGGAACACGGCCTCTCTTTGGCATACCTGGCATCAGCATCACTAGTTTTGCGCTCTGTGGCCATTCCTAACTAAGTATAATAAGGGTGACTTGAACCCAAGCACTGCAACACCATAGCATTCGACCTGATAACCAATGGGTACTCAGTGCCCACTCGGCGGGGAGTGAATAGATCCTGGGGGCACGGACAGAGGGAGGACTCGCACCTGGGCAGGGCGGAGTTTCACCACACTGCTCAGAGCGCCACATGGGATGGCAGGATCCGCTGCTCACCATCGGCTCTTCGCTGGGCTGCACAGGTCGCCTGGGCCCTTCTGAAGACCAAGTGCCTCTGTTATGTGCAAGGCATTAAGTAGGTCCTGAGGGCCAGGAAGAATGCTCCGTGTTGGGCCAGAGAGGGGTGATGTTTTGAGCAACCCCCGTGGAGAGCGCTGGAGGCCCTGGCGGGATGCCTGGGCCTTCAGCTCACCTTCCGGGCCCTTCCATGGCTTCTCTCCACAGCTGGCTCATCCTTACCGGACGATGGTCCTGAGGGCCATGGAGACGATCGTGAGCAATCACATCAGTGAGCTGGGCAAGGACGTGACCAGGGCCATCATCCTCCTGGCCTCCAGCGAGATGACCAAGGTGAAGGTATGTGCTGCTGGCCAAGCCCCCTCAGAGGCCAGGCGCTGCCCCTGCCGGATGTGGCCGTGGCTCAGGGGCTTCTTTCTTGCCCAGCATGCTAGCATGTGGGTTTGGGTCTGGCTGCCTCGGGGTTGGCCCCTCGGTTCTGCACACTGACCGCCCTCCTGGGTGGGGAGGGCCACCCTGTCATTTTATTTTATTTTTTAAAATTTATTTTATTGATTTTTTACAGAGAGGAAGGGAGAGGGATAGAAAGTTAGAAACATCGATGAGAGAGGAACATCGATCAGCTGCCTCCTGCACATGCCCTACTGGCGATGTGCCCGCAACCAAGGTACATGCCCTTGACTGGAATCAAACCCAGGACCCTTGAGTCCGCAGGCCGACGCTCTATCCACTGAGCCAAACCGGTCAGGGCACCCTGTCATTTTAGAGGTGGAAACCGAAGCAGAAGAAAATTCCTAAGCTCTCGGGTGAATGGAGAGGCCCAGTGCCCGCATCTCGATGTTTGGGGGACGGAGCCAGGCTCAGCATGGGTCCCTTCTCCCAGAGCTGTGCTCCTTCTGCAGTGGCGCCTGGAGTGGGCAAGCGCTCACTGTGGAGCCTGAAGACAGCGCGACTGAGGACAGGCTGTACATTTTGCCTCTCGGGCAACTGCAGGGTGAGGGCCCGCACCCTTTTCCTGGCTGGGATGACAGGACACATTTTCTCTGGCGTTGCAGGACCTGGTTTCTGACTGGCAGCAGGCTGCCAGCAGCGTCCTCGTGGCGGTGGGCAAGCGCTTTGTTGGCATGGTGATGGAGGAGATGCTGGGCAAGTTCCAGCCCGGGGTCCTGCCTCACTGCTTCGTGGTGCAGACGTTAGCCAACCTCTCAGTCTTCAATGGTAGGTGTCGACTTGGCCTCCACCCCTTCACCCACGTTCTCGAGCGACCCGTGAGTTCCTCTGAGCCCTGTTGGCACCTCGGTTCCTCCTGTCTCAGCAGCCTTGCCACCTGCCCTGGGCTGAGCAGAAAGAGCTCAAGGCCCTACAGCGTGTGGTGGGCACAGGGTGTGGGAGAGACAGGCAGGGGTGGTGCAGGGCTGCTGTGACACCCATCTGTTGCAGTGTTCGGCATGGTGCCCTTCCTGACGTCTGTTCTGAGCACCATGCTGCCCATGCTGGGCATGGCCAAGCACGATTCCATGAGGGTGGTGTTCTGCTGTGGTAAGTCGGGGCCTCCAGGGCAGCTGTGTCTTTAAAGGGTGGGTGCTGGGTGCTGCCTGACCTTTCCTTGACCTTTTGTCTTCAGGACCCCTTTGTGGGGGCCATGGGTCCTTCAGGCTTCAGGAGGAGGGCGGGACAGTGAGAGGAAGGGTGACTGGTCTCCCTGTGTCTGTGTTCTCGTCTTATGAGGACACAGCCCTGTTGTATGAGGGTCCACCCCACCGTGACCACGTTTGAACTCATTATATCTGCCAAGACCCTATTTCCAAAAAAGGCCCTGTCCTAGGGGCTTGGACATGAACGTGGGGGAACAGTGCTTGCCCAGTGTAGTCCAGGAATCCCAGCCTGGACGGTGCTCTGGGGTGGTCATCGGTTTGGAAGGGGCAGCACGCACACTAGGTGTGAAGCCCATGTCCGCTCGCCACTCACCACCCGGTTGCCGCAGCCCTGCAGCGCTTCAGCGAGAGCACCCTTGAGTACTTGGCCAACCTGGACCAAGCCCCAGACCCCACAGTCAGGAAGGACACCTTTGCCTCCGACATCAGCAGTGCCTATGACACCCTCTTTCACCACTGGCTGCAGAGCCGCGAAGCCAAAGTATGCCTCACCTTGCTGGCCACCCCCTCCCCCCCAAGCCTGCCCACCCAGGCCCCTCCCACTGCCTGGGCTCCTCTGCTCTTCTGCGGGGAGGGATGGAGCTATCTGTGTACACCTGTCCCCATCCAGTGCCCTTCAGTCAGGAGGTGCGGATCTCATCAGGGAGGAGACGTGCCCTGTGCAGTCTCACCTGCAGGTCCCCTCAGAGTGCACTGATTTCTGAGCCCCAGTTGCCATGGACACCACCTCCCGTCCTCACCCCATGATGCCTTGCGGGAGGGCGAGGACTGGTGACAGTATGTGGCCTAGCCCCATTAGGACCCTGTCATGTGGTTTCCTCCCATCAGCCCTGGGTTCTTGGTGAATGAGCTCTTGGCCACTCTGTCCCTGGTGGGCTGTGAGCGTTGCCGCATGGTTTGTCCTGCTTCCCCGTCAGCTCCGGCTCGCTGTGGTGGAGGCCCTGGGGCCCATGAGCCACTTGCTGCCCAGTGAGAAGCTGGAGGAGCAGCTCCCCAAGCTCCTGCCCGGAGTCCTTGCCCTCTACAAGAAGCACGCCGAGACCTCCCACGTGTCCAAGGTGAGAGCTCAGCTAGGGTCTGGTAAAGAACATCCCCTCCGATGGGAGCAGGAGTGCCCTGAGCCGCTCAGGTTCAGTGGTAGTGGGGACCAGCCACATTTCTCCCCTCCTGCACTGGACAGAAGCCGGGAACCTGTACTACTGGCCTCTCCCCATGTCCCCTTTCCTGATCCCTCCCCTCCCTCTGACTTGTAGAGGTGGGGCAGGGCTGGGGGCTTCAGGCAGGACTGACGGCCCCTCTGCCCAGCAGAGCCTGGGCCAGATCCTCGAGGCGGCAGTGAGCGTGGGCAGCCGCACGCTGGAGGTCCAGTTGGATTCGCTCCTGGCCGCTCTGCACGCTCAGGTAGGCAGCAGGAGTGGTGCTCGGGGTGTGCCTGTGGAGGGCACACTGGCACGGGGTGAGTTGCAGGGAGCACTCTGGGGGGCCCTGGGAGGGCCTGGTCCAGGGAGAGGTGTGGGGGTCGTGGGAACTTGGCAGGGGCTCCTGTGTCACATGGACATGGATTAGGGGAAATAGTCTCTGACCTCAGTCGATGCCGAGAAAGGTCAGCTCTCAGTTACCCTTAGGACTCTCAGCTGCTGGGATCCGAGCGGACTTCCTTTAACCTGATAAAGTTTGTTTACCCACACCCTCCGCGTGCGTCCTACTGCGTGGGAGACAGGCACATTCCCATCAGTGCCAAGGGAATAAAGACCCCACTCATCCCAGTTCTAGGAGGAGGGAGACAAATGGGACGTGTGGCTCGGTGAGAGGATGGACTGTCCTTATCATTGCTCCCTAGTCCTGGTCCCCGCTTTGTGTTTCCCCTTGGTACTGACCTTTTACTTTTATTTTTATTGTATTTTTTAAAAATATTTTTTGTTGATTTCAGAGTAAGGGAGAGGGAGATAGAAACATCGATGATGATGAGAGAGAATCATTGATCGGCTGCCCCCTACTTGCCCCCCACTGGGGATTGAGTCTGCAACCTGGGCCTGTGCCCTGACTGGGAATCGGACCGTGATCTCCTGGTTCATGCTCAACTACTGACCCACACCAGCCCAGCTCTTCTATACTTTTTAAATCACATCTTTAAAAGTTTTTGGCCTCCAGTCAGGTAACTTACAAAGTGTGTGTTCATCGCTGTTTATGGTATTGGTAAGGCTTCTGGTCGCAATGGGCTATTAGTAAGTTTTTGGGTAGTTGAAGTTATGTGTAGATTTTTGATTGCTTGGGGGTCAGCGCCTCTGACGCCGCGAGTTCAGGGGTCAACTCTATCAGTGACTGCTCGCTGGCCCTCCCGCCAGAGGGACCCCTGTGTGAGGCTGTGTTCTGTCTGTTGCTCACAGCTGTGTCCACCCCTAGAGCAGCTCCTGTCACCTGTGAGCACTCAGTGGTTCTGGTGTGGATGGCTGTTATCCAGAAACCATTCGCGTGGGCACTGAGTCAGTGCACCCCCTTAGAACTAACCAGACACATCAACAGCATTCCACAGATCACTGCTCTGTGGAAAGGACAAAAGAAAAAAAGAAGTCCTTTATTTTGGGGCTGTTTATGATACTTGTTTGCAACATAATTTTCACATCATCCTTAATCTGTCTTCTGTTTTACACTCAGGTTTCCTTATACTCAGCCCCTTGATCCCACACTTGCTTGTCAGATTCTCCCGTTTCCTTGTACTTGTATTGTTGAATCTGCCGGAATTTCTTTTAGGGAAAAGCGAGTGAGAATCCAGGTTTGCCTTTCTTCCACGTGACCACCAATTTACATTAGTTACTACTGTAACTGGTGACTGTAAAACGTAGCACCTTAAACAGAAACTATGTATCTCACAGTCACTGGCCAGACACCCCAGAGCAGCTGCCAGAGGCTCTGATGGGGTCCTAGGTGGTTGCCCTCCCTGCTGGGCTGCAGACTCTGCTCCCACGGCTCCCTCCCGTGGCTGCAGGCAGAGGCGTGGTTCCTGGCCGCAGGACTGCTTAGGACTGATTGAGAGTCCTCAGGACCTGGCTCTCCTCTTCCAGAGTGAGAGCTTCACAGCAGAGCAGGCAGGAGGAGTGCCTTTTGTGACCAGGTCAGGGCTCTACAATGGGGACCTCTAGTGCAGCTCCTGTTTCTCCAGCTCTGAGAACTGGCTGAGCACAAATGGGCAGGGCCTATGGGCCAGGGCTTCCCTGAACTGACAATCACCTCTCTGGCTCACAAGCTGGGCTCTACTGAAGCCGGCAAACTCCTTCCCCTCGAGACAGCCCAGCTGCATGCTCGGAAATCCCATCAGCCTCCCTGTCCCGCCACCCCACCCCACCCCACCCCACCCCACCCCACCCCACCCCACCCCGCAGGTGCGGCCAGCCCATGACCTGCGCCTGGCTATGGCTGATTTGGGTAGACGCCCGGGGCCCTCAGCAGTGTGTGAGCTGGGTGCTTTGTCAGGAGCACGTGGCCTGCCCTTCCGGCCCCCCCCCCCCCCCCCCCCCCCCCCCCCCGCGCCAGTGCCATCATTACCCCTGTCCCTGGCCGCAGATCTGTGTGCCTGTGGAGACTTCCAGTCCCCTGGTGACGAGCAACCAGAAGGAGGTGCTGCGCTGCTTCACAGTGCTGGGTGAGTGGCTGCCTGGTCTGGGGCTGGGCCTGGGCCTGGTGGCAGCCTCGGCGTGGGTCCACCTCTGCCTGGGCCTGGGTGGGGCTGCCAGGGCCTCAGTCCCAAGTGTGCCCCCTGCTGGCAGGTTTGGAGGTATAGGCAGCAAGGAGCAGGGGCAAATCCTTACTGTCTGTGCGTTCCCCTGCAGCATGCTGCTCGCCCGAACGCCTGCTGGCCTTCCTGCTGCCCAAGCTGGACACCAGCAATGAGAGGACCCGCGTGGGCACCCTGCAGGTTCTGAGGCACATCATCAACTCAGCCGGTGAGTACACAGGGCAGGGCCGAGAAGCTGGTGAGGGGCGTCTCGCTTTGAATTCTTTAGAAATGTTCCCAACTTCCGATTTTGCAAAATTGCAAACATTTTGAAAAGTTTGCCTCTGACACCGGCTGCAGATGCTGGATGCTGCATCCTGACCCCGGGCCTGAATGGATGGCCTTTAGTCACACGAGGAGACAGACCACGTCTGCAGCAGCTGCCTGGAGGACCATGGCTGGTTCCTCCAGGTCCTTGGAGTGGTGCTCACTCCTTCCCTTTCTTCTGGCCTCACTCATTGTTACTGAAGAATCTGATGGTCGCACGCTGGTCAGCTGCCTCTTGGATGGGCCTTCGGGGAAGTGGGGCCAGCTGTCCTGTAGAATATCCCTAGGTCTGCTTGTGTCTGATGGTTTCCTCACAGTAGGATGGAAGGTTCCAGGTTTCCTGCTTTGATGGCTGATTTGCCCAGCATGGAGCTGGAGCCTATTTCGCACCGAGTTGTGTTCTCAGTGCTGCTTGAACTGCCCTGCTACCGCCTGCGTGCAGAGGCCACGTGAGGCCTGCAGTCCATGGGCTGGGAGGGCTTTTTAACGTGAACAGGCTGCAGAGGCGAGCAGAGGTGATGGAGACCTCATGTGGCCCTGTGTCGGCAGGGTCTTCTCTTTGGCCTGCTAAGGAGCAAGGGTGCTGACCCCGTCCCGTGAGGGTCAGGGTCAGGCCGGGGTGCTAACAGCACCGTGGATGTGAGGCAGCTTGGGGAGGGGCAGGGACAGGGACAGTGGCAGCCCAGACAGACCCATCCTGCAGCACACTGGCTCCTGAATAAGGAACTCCCACTGCATTGTTTCAGAATTCTTGTTTGGGACTTTCTATGGTTTGTGTCATCTTTGCCCATCTTCTATATTTTTAAAACATATTTTTAAATTGATTTCAGAGGAGAAGGGAGAGGGAAAGAGAGACTGAAACATCAATGATGAGAGAGAATCGTTGGGCCTTTATACTTGGTCAGTTTTGTTGGTTATAAAATTTTTGGCTCACACTTCCTTGACTGTCCTGTTGCCCTAAACTGCCAACCTTTCTAGCTTTTTAATGGGAAAAAATGTTATTTGTCTCCTGGAGAGAAGTGGTGGGCTTTGCTTGTACACTCCCCTCGCCTCCACGTGGAGGGCCATGCTGAGGCTGGACCCCGGCCACAGGGCCTTGGGACTCTTGGTGGTGAACAGGCCAGCTGGCCTTGGTCTCAATGGGGAGGCTGAGCCACCTGTTCATTTCTTGCAGCTGCTCAAATGGAAGTTAAGAAGCCCTTCATCCTCTCCTCTATGAGGCTTCCCCTTCTGGACCCCAATAGCAAGGTAAGGGGCGCGGCCAGCTAAGCGCGGCCTGGGTGCGGCCCTCAGCCGGCCCTCAGCATCAGTGTGTGCAGGTGTTGTGTGTCTGGGCGTCCCACGCCTTGCTCCTGACACAGTTCCCAGGCATGAAGTTAGGCACTGGTCCCAACACCACCCTCAGGTTGGAGAATTCTCTAGAAGGACCCCAGAACCCACGAGAGCTGCCATCCTCAGTCATGGCTCATTACAGTGAAAAGACAGAGCAGCCTCAGCTGTGAAGGAAGCACATGGGGCAGGCCCACAAGGCTGGGATGTGAGCCCCGTGGAATTGTGGGCAGGGATGCGACTGCACAGAGGCTGCCACTCTGGGGGCCCCTGGCCTGCATCCAGGGTCTTTATCAGACTCCCATCATGTAGACCTCAGTTGCCAGCCCCTTGAAGGCCGAGCTGGAGCGATGTGGCCCTGGAGGAAGTGACCTGGCCGTGCCCTCAGGTGGAGCCACTGAGGGGCTGGAAGGCAGGTTCAGGACTCCCAGGGGAGTTTTGGTGACTGAGGGACCTCCCTCTGAAGGGTGAGACAGAGCAGGGGAGGAGGTAGGAGGAGCCCAGCCCCGAATGTGAGACACCTTTGAGGAGCTGTGAGAAAGGCACAGGTGCAGGCAGAGAAAGGGGTGAGATCCCTGTGTCCAGACTGGACTGTCCAGGCCTGTCCCTCTGTGCAGGTGAAGCGGGCGGTGGTGCAGGTAATCAGCGCCATGGCCCACCATGGCTACTTGGAGCAGCCTGGGGGCGAGGCGATGCTGGAGTACATCGTGCAGCAGTGTGCACTGCCCCCCGAAGCCCAGGTAAGGGGCCCCACCACCTGCTGGGGCTGGGACCTGTCTGCTGTGCTGGAGAGTGGGCACCAGAAGGTGCGTGGCCCCAGGTGGGGGCAGGCAGAGTGGGCCCAGCAGCTTTTTTTTAAAAAATATATTTTATTGGTTTTTTACAGAGAGGAAGGGAGAGAGATAGAGAGTTAGAAACATCGATGAGAGAGAAACATCGATCAGCTGCCTCCTGCACACCCCCCACTGGGGATGTGCCCGCAACCCAGGTACATGCCCTTGACCGGAATCGAACCTGGGACCCTTCAGTCCACAGGCCGACGCTTTATCCACTGAGCCACACCGGTTTCGGCCCAGCAGCTTTCTTAGAGTCAGTTGGGGCCTCTGCTCCCCAGTGGTCATTCCTCAGACAGGAGAGACGGAACAGGCACGGGGCTCTTTTTAAGGCTTTTCTATTTAAAATGTTACTAAGCAAACCCCACTTTTCTTCTGGAGGGAGAGTAAGCTAGACCCTGGTGAAAGAAACGCACTACGGGGTGGTCACGCCATCCCTGCCGCCAGCCTTGGGGAGCACGGGGCCTGGTCACCCTCCTGCTCTGGGCCTGGTCTCAGGCGCTCACGTGCCCCATGTATCTTCTTTGATTGTCTGGTCACAGCCGCTGCCTGTGTTTGAGTTGGATTGTGTGTTTCCTTGTTCTTGAGTAGTGAGTGTTCTCTACGTATTCTGGGTACAAGTTCTCCGTCAGATTTGGGGTTTGTAAACATGTTCTGACAACTCTGTTGCATGGTGTCTTTATATTCTTAACAGTGGCGCTGAAACAATTGGACAAATATGCAAAATAATGAACCTCAGCCAAAACAAAAATTAATATTCAAACAAAAATTAATATTCAAGCCGAAACCGGTTTGGCTCAGTGGATAGAGCGTCGGCCTGCGGATTGAAAGGTCCCAGGTTCGATTCCGGTCAAGGGCATGTACCTGGGTTGCGGGCACATCCCCGGTGGGAGATGTGCAGGAGGCAGCTGATCGATGTTTCTCTCTCATTGATGTTTCTAACTCTCTATCTCTCTCCCTTCCTCTCTGTAAAAAACCAATAAAAAATATATTTTTAAAAAAATTAATATTCAAAATGGATCCTGGGCCTAAATCTAAAACCTAAAACTTAAAACTTCTGGAAGACGACATAGGAGAAAGCCCTGGGGTTAAGCGAGGATTTACTAACTAGCATGCTCTATAAATTACAAAAACAAAGCAATTAACTGGGCTTCTGAAATATTAAAACTCTGCCTTTTGAAAGACACTAGTATGTTCTTCAGGGTAAGTATGTTCTTGTCTGTGTCCTCATGTTTCTGCTCCTGATGGACTTTGATGTGGTCTCGGTGTCCACTGTCAGGTAGTTTGCAATTCCTGTTTGGGTTCTTTACCAACCCAAAGTTTCTCTTACGATATTTAACATTTTCTAGAGGAACGGCTTTTCAGACTATTGTGGATTTGTAATTTTATTGCGTCATCTGCATTGAGTCTGGCGAGGTAGAGTTCTGCTTTTGAGTCTGTTCAGATACTTGTTTTGGCCTAATGGGTGGTCAGGCCTTCCAAGTTGTTTTGTGTATTTGGTGTATTTTTAGAGTGAGCTTTAAGATTTCCATTCCAGGCCTACATTTCCCTGGTGTGGCGCTTGGCTTTGACATCCCCGTGAGAGGTGTCAACAGTCCCCGCAGTCAGTGCCGCTGCTGAGTGTGGTGCTGGGCGCTGGTGCTTCCAAGCGGGAGTGGCCGGGCAGGCAGAGCCCTGGGAAGCTGGTCCCTCTTGGATGCATGCTTCTCGGAGGCCCCCCACTGTCTGGAGGTTGTAGTCTGTTCCTGGTCGACGTGGGCGTGTTCTCAGGTAGTGACGTCTCCAGGGAGGCCCCCCATTTCTGCCCATGTCAGCAGGGCCAGAGTCGGGGGTGAGGTTACTCCTCAGGCAGTCAGTGGCCCACAGGACATGCGCAGGGTTTCCTTTACTTTGGAGACTAGACCTAAGCCAGTGAGCCTGCTCTCTTGGGCGAGTTTGGTGCAGACTGCATTTCCCGTCCATGGGGACAGGGTCTCCCCTGGGTGGTGGCTGGGCAGGGTCTGATCTCACGGCCCAGAGCCCATGGCCCGCCCCCGCCCCCAGCATCAGAAGCCCAGCGGCGAGGAGGAGCCCCCGGCGGACAGCGTGCGGGACATCAGCGTCAGCACCCTCTACCTGGTCAGCACCACCGTGGACAGGATGAGCGATGTGAGTGTGCGCCCCGCCCTGTGACTGACCACGCCCTTCCGGCCCCTGGGTCCAGGGCCTACTGACTGGCCAAGCCTCCTGAGCTCCGCGGGGCCTGCGGGGGTGGGGTGGTGAGGAGCCTCCCCAAGGCTGTGGCCCCCGAGGCCGCTCTACTGACCATGGCACTGCCCCTAGGTCCTCTGGCCGCACCTGCTCCAGTTCCTCACCCCCGTGCGCTTCACGGGGGCGCTGACCCCGCTCTGCCGGAGCCTCGTGCACTTGGCCCAGAAGAGGCAGGAGGCAGCGGCTGAGGCCCCCCTCATCCAGTATGACGCCAACGGTGCGCAGCCAGTGTGCGCTTTCCCTAGACCCCGCCCCTCCAGGCCCTGCCCCTCGCTAGCCCCGCCCCCACCCACCTCTCCCTGGAAGCACCTCTGAGCCTCCTGTCTCCCTTGCAGTGACCCTGCCATCTCCATACGCCATAGCCACACGGCTTCTGGTGAGCGATGCGGCTCCCTCCGAGGGATCGGGAGAGGAGTGGGCGCTCCCCTCTGTCCCTGGGTCCCCGGTGCTCGCGGCGCCGTCATGGCCGAGCAGAGAACACTGCCTCGCAATGGGGGCCAGACAGGCATCCCACTTGGGTATGGGGAGCTGTGTCTTGGGGGGCTTGTTGCCTCCACCCCAGTACCTCGTGGGTGGCCTTGTGGTCCGGCATAGCCGCGAGCTCCCACCTGCACCTCTGCAGACCGTGTCTTCCAGCCCCTACCTGGGGGGGGGCCGTGGGGCGGCCTCGCTGTGCCTCCTGAACGTCCTGCATCGGGACATCCACCCTTCGCTGGGTCAGCGGTGGGCAACGACCATCGCCCTGCTGCTGGAGCACCTGGAAGGTGAGGCCCCGGAGGTGGGGGCCCTGCACCCCTCTCTGCCTGTCAGGGCAGCTCTGGCCTGTGAGGACCAGGGTTCCCTAATTGAGAAGAAGTAGCCTCCACTGGGGTTCAGAGAGGGTCTAGACCCAAGGGTGCTCCTGCTGGTGTCACTGTCATTCGGGAGCATCTGGGTGTGGGCCCCTCTGGGTTTCCTTTGTGCTCTGGAAGGTGGGGTGGGGCCTGAGTCAGGTGGGGGTGCTGGGCGGGGTCTGAGTCAGGTGGGGTGCTGGGCGGGGCCTGAGTCAGGTGGGGGTGCTGGGCGGGGTCTGAGTCAGGTGGGGGTGCTGGGCGGGGCCTGGGCTGGGTGTTCTGAACACTCCATTCTTGTCTGTGTGACGGTCCTGCCTGGCAGGCTGACTGGTGGTTGTCATTGCAGAACATACTGCGAAGACCCTGTCACAGAAGGAATGGGAGGAAAAGCTGCTGGTGGTGAGAGAAGGGAGAAGGGACTGAGGTGTGGCCAGCCTGGGTGGGGAGAGCTGGCGGCTGTAACCTTCTAGGGTTGTGACACCTGCCCTGACTGAGTGGCCTGCCTGGTGGAGGGACAGATGGGTGTCTGGGGTGAGGACTGTCACAGGTTGCCGTCCTGCTCTGACAGCCAGATTACAGGGGCTTTGAGCTGCCCGGCCACGGCGCCTTCTGTCTTCCATTGCCTGGCCTAGAGCTGTCCGCACCCTAACTCATTGCATGTCTGCCTGGACTCGAGGGTCACCCACCACCGTTCAGAACCATGGCACAGGACCACCCTCCCCAGCCTGTTTGGGAAGCCAAGTTCCCAGCCTCCCTGTTGCTCCTCCCTGCAGTTCCTTCGGGATAGTCTTGCTGTTGTGTCTGACAACACATGGATCTGCCAGCTGAGCCTGGAGATGTGCAAGCAGCTACCCTGCTACAACGGGACGCCCCAGGAGAAGGTGTGTGTGTGGGGGGGAAGCCCCAGGAGAAGGTGTGGGGGGGAGGGAGCCCCAGGAGAAGGTGTGGGGGGGAGGGAGCCCCAGGAGAAGGTGTGGGGGGGGAGGGAGCCCGGAGAAGGTGTGGGGGGGGAGGAAGCCCCAGGAGAAGGTGTGTGTCGGGGGAGGAAGCCCCAGGGGAAGATATGAGAGGGGTCCAAGAGAAAGTGCCCAGGTCAGGGGCACCCTGGGAAAGTGGGGGCAAATAGCCTGCTGGGGTTTTCTGGACATAGTCCTTTGGTCCAAGTTCCTGGGCTTAGATTCTGCATCACTTGGTGCCTGAGCCCACCTCTGGGCCCTTGTAGCTCTGGCAGAGCTGAGAAGAGAAGGCCTATGAGCCACCTCGTAGTGGCTGGTGGCTGGAGACTCCCCGCTCAGGCAGTGGCCAGAACCACGGGTTCCCAACAGCCCCTCCCACATTGGCTGGCAGTGCCGGGCCGCCCTCCACCGGCACCCGCACAGTGCACGCCCTGGTTTGCTGCAGAACTTCCTGTACAAATGTGTGGGGACCACCCTGGGTGCTGCTTCCAGTAAGGACGTGGTGAGGAAACTCCTGCAGGAGCTGCTGGAGACAGCCAGATACCAGGAGGAGGCCGAGCGCGAGGTGCCAGCACCCCACACCCCCACCCCCAAAGCCCTGGGCCCACGGCTGGCTGGCAGTGCTCACTGTTCTCCCTTAGGCACTAGTGAGTGTGGTCTGAGTGCATATGTGTGTGCTGTGCACAGATGCAACCCTATGGTGTGTGCAGTGTGCATGCATAATGCATGCTCCTCCTGTCCTCACCCCCAAGCCCCTGTCTATCCCTTCCCAGTGTGAGTGCCCCATGCACCTCCCCAGGGCCTGGCCTGTTGCTTTGGGATCTGTGCCATCTCCCACCTGGACGACACCCTGGCCCAGCTGGAGGACTTTGTGAGGTCGGATGTGTTCAGAAAATCCATTGGCATCTTCAACATTTTTAAGGTGCAGCAGTCGGTCCGGGGAGGAGGCCTGGTGGGACTGGCCTGGGTTCTAGCGTCTGGGGTGGTGGGGCGGCTTGGCTCTGGGTGCCCTGCAGGCCAGGGTTGGGGTGGGGAGCTGCATCCAGCCTCTGCTTCCTCGTGGGTGGGGCGACTGAGTGTGGGTTTCCCCTCAGCCGGTGACAAGGGGCACCCAGCCCTCCCCCAGTCTGGGTGGCAGGATGAAAGCTGCTGCCTCCCCTGGCTGTCTGTTCACCTCTGCCCCCTGGTGGCCGGTAGAGGCTTCGTTCTTGCCAAAACCCATTACAGGAGGACTGGGTGCCTGCACCCGAGGCCTGTCCCAGTCACAGACTCTCAGGGTTGGGCTGCTTGCACGGGGCCGGCCCACACTTGAGTGCGTGTAGGTGTGGACAGGCCCCAAGGACAGAAGAGACCCTGGCTCTGCTTCCTCCTGCTTGACCCTCCCACCTTGTTCCCTGCTCAGACCTTTGATCTCTGTCCCTTGGTGCCCAAAGAACCTAGATCTGGCTTGTCCTGCTGTTCCCAATGGAGGGGCTCTCCCTAGGGCTGGTGTGGTCGGTTAAGCCTTTGATGTTGCTGGCAGCCCTGCCGTCTTCCAGAGGGACTGGGGCTTGCATGGGAGGCCTCCTGTGTGGGGTGTGGGATGCGGGACGGGACAGAGGGGCTGACTGTGTGATTGAGGCCTGCTGCCCCCCACCCCCAGGACCGGAGCGATAACGACGTGGACAGAGTGAAGGGCACGCTGATCCTGTGCTACGGGCACGTGGCGGCGCAGGCCCCCCGCGAGCTGGTGCTGGCCCGGGCCGAGTCCGACATCCTGCGGAATATGTTTCAGTGCTTCAGCACCAAGGTGGGCACAGGGCGGCGTCCAGGGCGGGCACTGACGCCACCACCTGGCATCGCACATTTTAATGCCTCTCACTTTTTGTTGTTCAGGTTCTGGGAATAAAGGTAGAGACCAAGGTACAGTGTGTAGGAGATGAGCGTGGACTGTGCTTTTCTCTCTCTGCTGGGCTGGGCTGGGCTTCACGGGAGGAGCTAGGGGGCGCCCTCATGTACCTTGGAGCAGCCCCTCCCCGCTCTGGCCCGGCCCTGGATGGCAGTGGGAAGAGAGGGCCTCTGCCCCTTGAGTAGTGGTGGCAGGTTGGCAGGCAGGGCAGGGAGCTGTGGACCTAAGTCCCTCTCCTGGCTCTGCTCCCCGATGTTCACGGGGCCGGCCTCACAGCTGCTCTGGGAAAGGGCTAAGCTCTGAGCCAGCGACAGTGGCCTCTGGCCTCACTAACATGTTTCCCGCTGGGACCACTGGCACTAACCCGGAAGCCCCTCTGTGACCACCGGGCCCTCGCCTCGAGGACAGACGCTCTGTTCTCCTGGGGCTGCTGGGGGAGGGGCTGTCCTAAGAGCCGTCCCCCTCAGCCCATTAGAGTAGGGGGCTCCACCCATGCCCCCCGGACAGCTGTCCTCACTACCTTCCCCAAACCCTCAGAGGCCAGTTAGTGGGACAGGCAGGGGCATCCCCATCTGGTGGGCTCTTCTTGGGTGTGCTTCCTTCTCCCACCTCGGGGGCCCTTCCAGCCACAGGATGCAGGGGACACGGGACAGAGCTCACCATCTGCCTGTAGGGTCTTCCCACGGCCATGACCAGGGGCCTCAGGGCCTGGGCCAGGCAGAGAGCTGAGTGCCTCAAGGTGCCTTCACAGGCGCCCTCTTGTCCTTGTGGCTTTGACAAACCCTTAAGAACAGGGGCGTGTGGTCTGGCCTCTTGCTGTGGGCAGCCTCCTTTATGGGCTCAGCCCTGTGGACCCAGGGGCAGTGGCTGGGGAGCAGGTGTCGGCGACTTCCTGCAGCCTGCTGTCCCTGCAGGACCCGGGCCTACAGCTGTGCCTTGTCCAGAGCATGTGCATGGTGTGCCAGGCCATCTGTAGCAGTGCGCAGGCCGGCTCCTTCCACTTCACGAGGAAGGCGGAGCTGGTGGCCCAGATGATGGTGAGGCCACACGGGTCTGGGGTGCCTGGGGTGGCTGCAGGGCGCTGACTCGGACGAGGGGAGGCGGGTCTGGGGAGGCTGGGGCATGTGCAGTGAGGGCCCAGCACCTACTTGGCACAGCCTGATGGAAGCTGGATGGGGAGGAGAGCCGGTGCTTTGGCTCAGGGCTGTCACGTGCTGCCCCTCAGGACTTCATCAAGGCAGAGCCCCCAGACTCCTTGCGAACACCCATTCGGAAGAAGGCCATGCTCGCCTGCACCCACCTGGTGTATCCTTTCCTCTGGGCATGGGCTCCTGGGGTGAGGGCACAGGGTCACGTGAGGGTGTGTGTGGCTGGACAGACCCCACCCTTAACTTACCCCTCAGCTCCCTGGAGCCTGAGCTGGAAGAGCAGGTGCAGTCGGACATAATCCACAGTTGTCTGCACAGCATCATGGCTGTGCCGCCCGAGCCTGAGGGGGAGGGTGGCCCCCAGGAGGTATCTCCACGTGCCCCTCACCCCCGCCCATGTCTGTGGGGGGCAGAGAAGAGGCTGCGGTGGGCGGTGTGGTCACTGGTGGGCCGGCGCCCCCTTCCCTCCCTCCAGTTCCTGTACCTGGACACCATGCACACCCTTGAGGATCTGCTGAGGAGCATCCTTCGGCGGAACATGACCCCCCAGGGCCTGCAGCTCATGGTGGAGGTGTGCAGTGAGGGGCACTGTCCGGGGGAGTGGGCACCTGGCAACCATCCTCCATTGTTTCTCAGGGCCCGCCTTGCCCCAGGGCAGCACAGGGGCCATTTGGTGCTTTCTGCAGCTGGGGTTTGTGGGTAGGTGTGCAGGTGGAGTGGGCCCTCACCCAGATGCGGCCTGGAGCCCATTCCCGCATTTCAATCATCTCATGGTGCTGGGACGCAGAGACCCTGCAGGTGCCCCAGATGTGAGCTTCTGATCGTCTGGGGCCATCGAGACGCCGGGATGGCAGGTGGTGGCCATGCCGTCTCCCTCCCTGGGAACTCCCCATCCCTCTGTAGGCCCAGCTCTGGGTCCACCTGGGGGGCCATGTGTGTGATATAGGCCAGCAGGACAGGGTTGAGCTGCAGCTGTGGTGACCCACCCTGATGTGGCCTGCTGGCCCCTGAAGCTTGGAAGGGTGGCCTGGCAGGGCCGCTGACCTGCCCACTGCGCACAGGCCCCTGCCTCCTGGGCTGTCCCTGGGCACCCGTGTGAAACCCCCATCTTCCCCAGCACCTGAGCCCGTGGATCAAGTCCCCGCGGGGCTACGAGCGGGTGCGGGCGCTGGGCCTGAGCGCTTGTCTGCTGCAGTTCTTCCTGGAGCACCTGCACGTCAGTGTGAGTAACAGGCAGTGACCACACAGTTGCCCCCACCACACTCCGCCCCCACCTTCCTGGGCATCCCATTCCTGGGGCCCATGGTTGGGGCCTGCGTCGGCTGCCCTCCTGCTCCCAAGCACTCAGTGGGCTTCCCGGCTGTCATCGAGCCCCCACCCCTGGCTCATCCCACACCGACAGTGTCTGTGCTCTTTCTGAAGACGTGGACGAAGGCCGGTCAGGGCCAGGAGTGTCCTCGGGGCTGGCCACTCGGAGTTCAGTCTGACGGAGCCCACATGTCACCCAGGACTGATGTGTATTATGGTCCCCGAGTGAGGGAACGCGTGCTGGGGAGCGGGGTGTAGAGGAGAAGATGAGGGCTTTGGAGGCGGAAGCAGCAGGTAGGCAAAGACGGAGCTGACCACAGGGGATGTTTAGAAAAGGCAGAGACGGGGACAGCTCCGCGGGTGGTTGGAGCTGGCCTGAGAGCCAGTGTATGCATGTCAGTGTTTGGTGAGACTCGGAGCTCGTGTGTGCGCTCTCCCAGAATTCCAGTGTCCTACGAGGCCGTCGTGCAGGTGGTTTGGGGTTCCTGTGGCAGTTGTGACGGAACCCGAGGACAGTAGTTGCACCAGGAGCGGCTGAGGGTGGGCGCCTCCAGCCCTCCCCAGGGTAGCGGTGGTTGTCAGTGTCACTGTTCTCGGGGCCTAAGTACTGCTGATTGTTGCTATGGAGGGAACTGGAGTTTGCAAGACTCCTCTGTTACTTGTAATGAGCTTTTAGCGAGTTTCCTGTGCTTCTCAGATTGTCATCCCAGGCTGCATATCCCCTTTCAAACGCTGGGGCTTTGGCTTTCCCCCCGGTACTTGCACCTTTGTCCCTTCTCCATCCAGCGCGCTGGGGACACGACGAGACGACACCCCCTCCTGGGAAGTTTCACTGCTGAGCCCAAGGCTTGACCTGCTGGGCCACGTTTACTCTTTCTCATGCTCCACACATCCACACATTTTAATGAGGACTTTGATTTTGAAATTGATTGATCTGAGAGAGAAAAGGGGAGAGAGAGAGTGAGCCCTCCACTTGTTGTCCCACTGATTTATGCGTCCCTTGGATGCTGCTTGTATGTGTGCTGACCAGGGGTCACACCTGCAGCCTTGGCATTAGGGACGGCGCTCCAACCCACTGAGCTACCCGGCCAAGGTCTTAATGAGGACTTCTATCAGGAGCACAGACGAGGTTGCCAGATGCCTTTTTCCATCGATCAGGGTGATTGTAGGCTTTTTCTCTTGCTGTTTTACTATTTTTTAAAAATGTGCCCAAGCTCTCATTCTTCATGTGGCCAGATCTGCCAGGTCTCCCAATGGCTCTTGCCTTCCGTGTGTGCATGGCCAGGCTTTCCCCCTCAGGCTCTCGTGCCTGGTCTTCACAGGACCCCGTCCAGCTGTAACAGACATCTGACCTCGCCAGAGCAGCAGCTGGCCCCAGGGTTCTTTGCCCAACACTCCAGCCTCCCTCCTCCCACGAATCCCCAGGCTGGTGGCTCCAGGACCAGAAGGGGGCAGGGGGCAGGAAGGCTGAGGGGTGTGAGTTGGGGGTCGTAACTGGTGTTGAAAGGCCCAGGGCAGGACGCAAGGCTCAGTGTTTGAGGAGAGAAGAAAGCGCCCTGAAAAACGGGACCAGGACCAGCGAGGGTGAAGGGGCCTGCAGTTTCCCTCCCCTGGTGGGATTTGCCCTCTGGGGGAGGGGGTTTACCATGGGGGTTGGTGGACTCATCAGAGCCCTGCCCCCTCTGCTGCCTGTGGGGCTCCATCTTTGTCTCCTGCTTGGCCCTCTTAGGTGCCCCAGTGGACTGTGTATGGTCTGAGCTGGGTCCACAGCTGGGCCTAAGTGGTACAGGCAGCACCTGCCCTCCCCCTACATTCCCAGGGCCCCAGCTCCCCTCTCTGGCTGCCCCCGCCCCAGTGTCCCCACAGCACCTCCCACCCCTCCTCTCCAGGCCCTGGTGCCCTTCCACAACCTGGGCCTCCTCGTCGGCCTCTTCTCCCCACGGTGTGCGGACCTGTGGCCTGCCACCCGCCAGGAGGCCGTGAGCTGTGTCTACTCCCTGCTCTACCTCCAGCTGGGCTACGAGGGTGAGCCTCTGGCTGGGCAGAGGTGCCGGAGGGATGAGGAGCAGTCTGGGCCCCGGGTGGCCAGGGAGGTCCTGCCCAGCTCCACGTGCCTCCTGCCTTCGCAGGCTTCTCCCGTGACTACCGGGACGATGTGGCCGAGCGGCTCCTCACCCTCAAAGACGGCCTTGTGCACCCCGACCCCGCCATCCTCTTCCACGCCTGCCACAGCATCGCTCAGGTACCTGCAGGCACCCATGGAGGGAGGCCGCTCGTGGTCTGGGCTGGGAGGGACTTGCATCGTGGGTGGGGGTGCAGGGCGCTGGGCGGGGTGCAGCACAGGGCAGTGGGCTTGGGGCACAGGGATGGGAGCACCAGGCTCCAGTGGAGAGTTGGGGCTTCTCTGACGGGGCCACAGCCCCTGGCACCCGGCAGGAGCTCCTGACAGCGCAGGGCCAGGAAGAGGGTGTTGAGGCTGGAGGGACCTGAAGGCTGAATGGCGCTGGCCCCGCCCAGAGGCGCTATGTCTGGAAGCCCTTCCTCTGCTCTGCTGACGCACAGCCCTCTTCCTAGATCATCGCGAAGCGCCTCCCGCCGGATCAGCTCATCAACCTCTTGCTCACCTTGTTTGAGAGCCTGGGAGACCCCGACAAGAACTGCTCCCGAGCGGCTACAGTCATGATCAACTGCCTGCTGAAGGAGCGGGGCAGCATGCTGCTGGAGAAGGTGGGGCGGGGCGTGTTCGGGGGGCGGGGAGGAGGTTTATGGGCGTGGCTTGTCTGGGAAGGGGTGTGGCTAGGCATGGACCTTGGATCTGTCTAGACCTGTGGGGCGGGGGCTGGGTAAGTGGGGGCTCCCTGCTCTGCCCCCTTTCCCTGCGGGTCTAATAGGGACAAATTCTCTTTTGTGTGAAGACTGAGGTTAGAATTTGGCAGAAGTCACTGTTCAGAAAGTGAGGTGGGGAACGGAACCAGGAAGCACAATACTGCGCGGGGTGGAGCTGGTGAGGCCTCCGGCTGAGATAGAGGGCCCCCAGCGGGCTCACCCAGAGGCCACTGAGGTTCACACTGGCCCGGGCGACTCCCCACAATGACTGCAGGTTGGAGGCTCCCGGTCTCAGGTGGCCCCTTTCTGGTGGGTGTGCCTTGGCTTTCCATGAGTTCTAGTTGCGTTTCTGCACACGTTTCCTGGCTCCTCCAGCGTCCCAGCAGGCTGGGCCCATCTGTCTCCTGGGTTGTCTGTGCCTTTCTTACTGATTTGCAGCGGTATGTGATACCTGGGGACACGAATTTTCTGTTGGGTATCGCAAATGTCTTCTTCTCAGGGAGGGGTGAGCAGGCAATTTGCTGATGGGGATTAGCAGCAGAAGGGCCCTGTGTGGTATAAGGCTGGAGAGGAACGGACACTCAGGCAGGGGTGGTGGTGGCCTCAGGACCTGGGAGGGGAAGTATGGCAGGAGGTTGGGACGAAGGCACAACTGTGACAGTCGGGGTTTGCTGGGCGAAGGTTTGGATTTTATTTTGCATTTTTTTCCAGGTCAGATGTGAGCGGTAGGAAGGTGTCCTGTGGCTCTGGGCAGGTGGAGGGGGACCAGCCAGCTGGAAGCAGTGGCCATTGGTGGCCCCAGTGCACTCATAGCGTCCCATGTCGTGTCTTTCCTTTCAGCTGTCGACAGACACTTGGGTTGCTTCCAGCTCTTTGCTTCTATTTTAAGAATAAGGCTGTGAACATGGTGTGTAAATATCTTCTTTGCATTCGTTTTCTGTTCTTTTGGGTAGATACCCAGGAGTGGAATTGCAGGTCATATGGTAAACCTGTTTTGAGTTTTTTGAGGAACCACCATCCTGTTTTCCATAGTAGTTGCACCAATTTACATTCCCACCAACAGTGCGTGAGGGTTCCAATTTCTCTACATCCTCGCCAACACTGATTACGGCCCCTTTTGTTTTATAGCCGTCCTGATGAGTGTGAAGTGGCATCTCCTGTGGGCTTTTAGTTAATCCTTACTGAGGATACTTTTTTCCATTGATTTCTAGAGAGCGTGGAAGAGAGAGAGGGAAATGCAGAAAGAGAGAGAGAAACATCAATGTGAGAGAGACACATGGATTTGTTGCCTCCCACATGTGCCCCTACCACGGCTGGGGATTGAACATGCAACCCAGGTACATGCCCTTGCCCGGCAGGAATCAAACTCTAGATCCTGTGGGGTGCGGGCCAATGCTCTAACTGCTGACCCACAGCGGCCAGGGCTCCCCTGTGGTTGCGATTTGCATTTCCCTCACCGTAGGTGATGCTGAGGTCTTTTCATGGGCGTGTTGACCATCTGTATGTCTTCTTTGGAGGAATGTCTATTCAAGTCCTTTTCCTCCTTATAAATCAGGCTGTGTGATTTTGTTGTTGAGTTGTATGAGTTCTTTATATATTCTGGATATTAGCCCCTTACCAAGTGTACGACTTGCAAGTATGTTTCCCCATTCTGTAGGTTGCCTTTTCACTCTGTTGATTGTGTCCTTTGATGCATAGAAGTTTGATGTGTTCCATGTCTATTTTTGCTGTTGGTGTCAAAGAAACCATCGCCAAATCCAGGGTCATAAAGCTTTCCCCGTTTTCTTCTAGGAGTTTTATAACTTTGGGTCTCCCCCCACCACCCTGCCTTCTTGGCAAAGGCAGGCGCCCCACATGCAGAGCCAGCTGCTGGGCTCCTGGGGGAAAGCTGTCGAGCCACCTCCTTCCAGCTCAGGGTCAGACACGAACAGGGTTCCTGACTCCCAGGCTCATCCTTAGCAGATCTGCCTCCTGACACCTCAGCTGCAGTGACGTGGCCTCTAGTGCCTGGTGCCCACGGGGGGGGGATCACATGGGCCGCATTTCCCTTCCTGCATGAGAGAGCTTGGCAGGGGGACCTCTAGGAGACGCCTGGACACTTCCTCTGACATCGGGTCAGAAAATGTGGTTCTAGCAGGTGACATGTGACCCATGATCGCAAAATAGAGCACGTTGTAAAGAACAGAGGGCAAGACGGACCACACAGCAGGCTCCTCACCTCAGTTGTTGGGGAGGCGGGAGAAGGCCTGAACAGGAAGCACAGCTCAGACTCAGCACCTCCCACTGCCACGCTGCCCGAGCTGGGAGCAGAGGCGTCGGGTCCAGGAGACATGGCCATGCCCAGGTTCGGGGAAGGGGCATGGAGAGTGGTCCCCGTTCTGTACTCGAGGTGTCACTATTCACCAGCCCTTTGAGAGGGGACCCCATGCACACACTGCATGGAAGAGCAGGCGAGGCCTGGCCTGGGAGGGTTCACGTCAGCCACACCGCGCCTTCTCGAGCTCCCATGGGGCAGGTGACTTGGCCAGCCCTGCCCAGGACCCAGCGGTGGGTGGAGTGCACCGTCTGCCAGCAGCCCTGTCCCCGCAGCTCTGTCTCCCCTGTTTTCACCTCATACCACGGTGTTTTCCAGGTGTGCAGCATGCAGTGGGGGTCTCTGTGGTCAGGGCCAGCACCTGCTGAGGGCAGGGGACCCAGAATGATGAGGCCACACGGAGCCTGCTGGAGGCCAGTAGGGCCCCACTGGTCCTGAGGAGGCTCCTCGCTCTGGTTGCCTCACCAGTGGCTTCTGCAGTGGGGGCCACGGCCCTCCCTCTCCTGGTCCATCCCAGCCTCAGTCTGGGGATCGGTTAGCCTCCCCTCTCTCTCCTGCATCCCCACCCACTGCCCGCCTTTGCCTTGGTCAGAGCGCCTGAGGCTGGGATACCCTCAATAGAATGTCAGGGCCTGTTGGCCTCAGTGCTCCACACACATCCAGAGGGCACCAAGCTCCCTTCTCGGCCCCAGCCCCATGAGGGGCCCTGCAGCTCCTGGGCTGCCCACCCCACCCCGTGGCCCCATATAGACAGCACCTGGCTCCCGGGCTGCCTGCTTCCAGGTCTGACCAGCGCCCACCGCCCGCAGGTGCCCGAGATCATGAGTGTGCTGCGTTCCAGGCTGCAGGAGACCCGCGAGGAGCACGTGCTGCAGTCCGCCCAGCACAGCGTGTATGTCCTGGCCTCCCAGCACTGCGTGGCCGTGGTGACCAGCCTCCTGGGCAGCCCCCTGCCCTTCGACAGGTACCAGGTGTCCACCAGCTGCTGGGGTGGGCACCAGGCTCGGGGGTACCTGCGCCCCCAGTTTCCACGTGCCTCTGCACTTGGTGCCTCCTTTTGGGAGCCAGCAAGACCCCAGTCCCTGCGGGGGGGAGACACCCTCTAGGTTTCAGTGGGCACCCTGGGCTCTCGGTCACGAGCTGTGTCATCCACTTCTCCTGGCCTGTCTCTGTAGGGTGTCACCCCCATCTGTGAGCAGACCCCGGGGCCTGGCCCTCACTCTGAGCCAGGAAGGGGTTCCCGTCCCCCGTGTCGCACTCCCAGCTCCCGAGCTCCCATCGGTGCCCATCCTCCTGTCCCCCACGTATCCTCCACCACATCACCCTATTGGTGGTCGTTGCTGCCCGCGCTCCCTTCTTTGCTGGCTTCATTGTTGATGGAGGTCCACTGTCACTTGGAGACCCTGTGCTCCTTGTGTTTCGGGTCCTGTCAGCCTTGCTTTTGCGCTCGCTCCACAGCCATCACCTGGCGAAGCACCTCTCCTCACTGGCGAGGGTTTGCGTTGAGGCGCATCTTAGCCGTCGCTTGCCTGGTGCCTCCTCTGTCCTCCCATCTCAGGGCCTCGTCATCTTGCTGACGCAGCTGTAACGTCATCTGTTCCACTCAGTTGCTTTGGGGGTTGTACACTCTGCCTCTGTCCCTTTAGTGGTCATTCTAAAAATGACCACGTCGGCACAGGGGAGGTGCCTGCATGGAGCCGCCCGCCCGGTGTCACCGTAGCTCCTGAGTGGTCATTCTGGGGTGGTGCCCTTCCATGTTTGCATGTGGCTCTTTGTCCATCCCTTTGCTTCAGTTTTCATGGGGGCGTCACTTACACAGAGGAGCCTGAGGTCGTCACAGGGTTCCGTGGTGACATGGGCGGCCTGGTGGATGGAGCCCGTGGATGTGCTGTCTCTGGCGCATGCGCGGTTGCTCTTTCTTTCTGGTCACTTGGTGTCCTGTGGGCACCCGGCTAGGGCAGGAATGGGCTGACCTGGGTCAGAGTTGGCACGTGCAGCCCTACCCCACATCTCATGTGCCCATTTTTACACAGCCTGTGAGCTAAGAACGAGTCTCACACTTATCGGTGGTTGGAGAAAATCAGGAGCATGTTTCACGACGTGAAATCACGTGAAGGTCGGTCTCAGTGTCCATGAGGAACATGTTATTGGGCCCAGCATGCCCCCTTGTTCCCACAGCAGTGTGTGGCCGCCCAGGGTGCCAGGGGATGGGCCGTCCATCTGCCCACCGCCCATGTCCCCTGGGTGTGTCCTTGCCATCTTGGTTGGCATGTGCGTCTTTCCACAGGGCCACCAAGTTTTGCTCCTCACTCTACAACTCGGCCCCTCACTGTCCTCCCACTTGAAGAGCTTCCTCCAGGGCTCCCTTGCTGAGGGTCTGCTCCTGAAAACACTGCACTTTGTCAGCTGAGATGTACTTGTTTTTGTTTAGTTTGGTGTGTTTTTTAATTTGATTTTTTTTTTTTTTTTTTTTTTTTTTTACAGAGAGGAAGGGAGAGAGAGATAGAGAGTTAGAAACATCGATGAGAGAGAAACATCGATCAGCTGCCTCCTGCACATCTCCTACTGGGGATGTGCCCACAACCCAGGTACATGCCCTTGACCGGAATCGAACCTGGGACCCTTCAGTCCGCAAGCCGACGCTCTATCCACTGAGCCAAACCGGTTTCGGCTGATTTTTTGTTTTGAGAAAGAAGAAAGGATGGGGGAGAGAAACATTGATGTGAGAGCAAAAATCAATCAGCTGCCTCCCCCATACCTCCCACTGGGGATCGAGCTGAAACCTGGGCATATGCCCTGACCGAGAATCAAACCTTCAGTGCACAGGACGATGCCCAAACCCAGTGAGCCACACTGGCCAGGGCCTGGAATGTATTCGTTTGCTGCCTTCTTGACTATTGTTTGCAGCGTTTGGAATTCTGGTTTAGCAAGTTTTCTTTCACTGTGTGTGTGAGATCAGCGGTCGCCAACCTTTCGGCCTTCACAGACCACCATCGGTGACCACTGTGTCAGATGATGTGCCGCCTCTGGCCCCTGAGTCTCACTGGCGAGCTGTCTGAGGAGCCATGTGCTCTCCTTGGATGCGCAGGAGCCATCCCTTGTCGCTGGCTTGTGCATGTTTTTGCTTGGGCCCAGGGGTCCTTGGATTCTGCTGGGCAGGGCTGAGCTTCCTGAGTTCTGGACATTTCAACCTGCTTCTCTTCAGTCTCTTTCTCTGCTCCTGGGACCCAGGTCAGTGCCTGTAGACCTGTCTCCAGTTCCGTCTTCTGGACCCACCGCGGCCTCTCCCCACGCTGGGTCCTGCTGGCTCCTCCCATCCGTCCTCCAGGTCCCTGTTTCTCCCTTCTGTTGCGTCCAGGCTGCACACGTGCCCACCAAGTAGCGCTGCCCCTCTTCCTAAAGGGCTGTTGCTTCTCTTCCGTTTTTAGAGTTTCCCATTCTATCAGGTATTTGGTGTGTCACTTCTTCTGTACACACGCTGACATCAGAGCCGTCTCCTGTGCGTCTGAGCCCCGACTGCAGGGGCGTCTGCTTCTCTCACAGGCTGACTTCTGTGTGCCTGGTCTCAGCCACATGCTGCGCGTTTTGTAGATGCTCCCGGGACCCCTCCCACCGCCTCACTGAGGCCCTCTGTTTATGGACCCCTGGGGTCAGGGGAGGTGTGAGTTTAGGTCTGAGGTCAGGGCACCATTTCCCCCTGGCTGGAGCTGAGTGTGGTGGGCATGTGGGGGGTTTAGCTGGGGCTGGCAGTGGCCTCACGGTGACCACCCTCCTTGCCCCAGCCACACCTGCTCCCTGTGGCGGGCGCTGGCGGTGGAGCCCGGCCTCAGCGCCCAGGTGCTGGGGCTCCTGCTGGAGAAGATGAGCAGAGACGTGCCCTTCAAGGAGAGCCGGGCCTTCCTGCTGAGCAGCGCCCCCGACCGCGTGGCCACGCTGCTGCCCCTGGCGGTGAGTGCCGCCCCGCTCCCTGCTCCTCCCTGGCTCCCTGGCGGGCTGACCCACAGGTGGTCTGGGCACCGCCCCCCAAGGCACCTGGCAGCTGCCTGGGGCCCCAGAGCCAGCAAGCTTGGAGCCCAGCCTCGTAAAGGCCCCACAGGTGTCGGTCCCCAAGGGAGACCACTCTGTTTCATCCTTTGGAAAAAATAAACCTGGCTTGGCAGCGATTTCAACAGTAAAGCAGCTGTGAGAGTTCCCTCTTCTCTGCTGAGGAGTCAAGAGCAGATGGTCGGGGGCCGTGCCCTGGTGGGCACACGAATCCTGAGCCTCCTCCCACCCCAAGGGCCCAGCTGGGCAGCCCTCGGGTCCCCGCACACCCCCGACCTATGGTGGGCGAGTCTGGGTGCTAGGAGGCAGGGCCCAGCCTTTGTAGTGGCCGCCCTCCACTCGTTATATGTGGCCCAAAGGGAGGGTGAGCCTGAGGTGGCCGCTGTCCCCAGGCCACCTGCGCGCTGCACGAGGTCATGTCTGCTCCGGCGTCCGGGCCTGCGGTGACCGAGCTCTACCCCCAGCTGTTTGCTGGGCTGCTGCTGCGTGTCAGCTGCACGGTGGGCGTCCAGCTGCCCCGCAACCTGCAGGCCAAGGAGCGGAGGGCCGGCAGTTCAGCGCTGGCCTCCAGGACCCTCGATCCCTGCAGGTAACAGGTCCTCAGCTCCTGCCCCAGCGCTTCCTGTGAGCAGAGCGTGTGGTGAGCGCGCCGCACTGGGGTGCCCTGGTGTGTGTGCGCCAGGCCGCGGGGGAGAGCTTGTGCCTGGGAGCCGTGTCTCCCTGGTGACACACTGCAGGGGCACACTGTCCTGGGAATGCAGCTTCCAGGCTGTCCCTCCTCCTCTCCTCGGAAAAGCTTGGGATGGGGACTGTCTGGGATGCGCTGCAGTCCCTGGGGACGGGCAGGCAGGTGCAGAGGGCGCCTCCTTCGGGAAGGGTTTGGGTGCTGTGGGGCCTGCAGGAAGCCACTCCTCCAGCACAGCCTTTTCAGCCCCGTCCTCCGCCCCCCGCCCCCCTCCAGCAGCAGCTCTGCAGGAGCCTGACTGCCACCCCCCCCAGGTCTGCTGCTCCCAGCGTCAGCTTGTGCAGCCACTTCCCGCCCCCTTGCATGGGCCTAGGGTCCTGTGGTCTCTGCCGAGCAGGCGTTGGCCCTGGCAGGAGACTGGGCACAGGCTGCTCGCCGAGGGTGGGTCACTGAGCTCAGCAGTCTGGGTGCCCGCCTGCCCGTCTTGGTCCCTGAGGCCAGACCAGACCCAACACGGTGGCCCCTCAGGGCTCCGAACCGCTACCTCGGGCCACAAGGGGAGCCCGGAGCTGAGTGGCCGGGAGCCCGGGCCACCTCCTTATGCGTCCCAGGTGTCGGGTTGGATGTGCCCCTTGGCTGGGACACACACGGGAACAGTGTCACCACCCCGCCCCCGCTGCAGGCTGCTCTGCCACAGGACCAGCTCGTAAAGCCTCGCAGAGGCTGTGTGCCAGGGCCTGCCCAGCTCTGCAAGGCCAAGTGGAAAATGTGAACGGACCAGAGGACACTAACCCAGCGAGCCCAGGGCCTGGCACGCCGGACGCTGCCCCATGGCTGGGAGCTGTGGGGGCTGCAGGCCGCAGGCCACACACCCCGCCCCGGGGGCCCCTGGGCTGCCACCCCTGAGCTGGGACAGGAGCAGAGCCAGGCACAGGTCTTGGCTCTGATGGAGGCTGTCAGCCTGCGAGTCAGACCCTTGCAAATGCCACATCCACAGAAATTCCGGGCAGCAGGCACCGGCAGGGAGGCACCCTCCCTGAAATTGTCCACATCCTCCCAGGCCAGACCGACGCCTTCATTTGTTGCAGCCGAGAGCTGCCCAGAGCGCTGGTCTCAGCCTGGAGCAGGGTGAGGGGCTGGCCCTGGCAGCATGGCCCTGTGTCTGCCCAGTGACCCTGGTGGCCGGTGAGGGAGGCCCCACCCATGACTGGGCCTCCACTGGACTCCAGACCCCAGGGACAGCAAAGGGGAGAGCAAGAGTCGCCTTCCATGCTTTTTCTCCGCTGGCCCCTGGGTGGGTGTCTGCCCTTAGGCCAGGAGCTTCCAGGGAGGGTGCCTCGCAGACACACACCTCCGAGGGCCAGTGTGCAGGGGAGGGGTCAGTGTGGGAGGAGGGGCTCCCTGTGTGGTTCTGAGGACCCTGCCAAGCTGCCTGTGGATCACAGGCTTTGCTGGGAGGCTCTGCAGGTGCAGGCCCTCTGCTCTCCCCCGACCCTGAACTGAACTGAACGCTTCTGCCTGAGCTGGGGGCTTATCCCAGCGAGAGGGACGACAGTAGATTCCAGCCGGGCCCTGTGGGCCTGGTCCCTCCTGCGGGGCTCTGGTTGGGACAGCAGGTACGGCCCACATCTACCATCTGCCGACTGGCCAAGCGGGTGGACAGCACTGGGCATTTCCTAGGAGCTGTTCCGGCTCCTGGCGGCCATGTGTCCTCAGAGCAAGCAGGTTCTCTCCATCACTTGCACAGCAGCCCAGTTGATACCTGGGAGTGGAGTGGGCCCTAACTGCTGCCCCTTCCTGCAGGATGTGGGGGCCCCTGAGTGGGGAAGGCTGTGCACATGGGAAAGATAAGGCTTGAGGTGCAGGAACAACTCTGAGGGTCCAGGCTCAGGAGTGGGGGGCAGCAGTTTTCACTGAGGATCTGAGCCGCCTGGCTGTGCCTAGTGGGGAGGGGGAGCTGGTGGGGTGTGGGCTGCACAGCCCTGGGACTTGTGTACGTGTGTGTGGGTGCAGGCTGAGTGCAGCTGCCTGTCCCCCCAGCACTGCAGTGGATGCTCTGCGGGCCGTGCTGCTGCGGGGCGGCAGCGAGGACGTGGTGCAGCGTGTGGAGCTGGAGGGGGGCTGGGAGCTGCTGAGCACCTCCGCAGGGCATGAGGATGGGGTGGCCCGGCTGGCCAGGTGAGCACTGTGGGCAGCCCCTGTTGAGGCAATGGCTAGGGGCCCTGGGACCCACAGGGAGGACACGTGAGGCCCCCTAGTGGTAGAGCTTCCTGAGTGCTCAGCCTGAGAGCAGGTACCCCTGAGGGCCGCACCCCTGCGGGGTGGGGGTGGGGAAGCATAAAGACAGCTGTGCACATCAGGTGTGGACTGTGCAGGGGCGGGTTGGGGAGAGGAGCCCCCATGGAGCCTGGTGAGGTGGCTAGGAGGGGCATGTCTGAGTGGGAGGGTAGGAAGAACCTGGCAGGGGGCACAGGTTCATGGGACCGAGGGCTCTGATGTGGAAGAGGCCTCCCCCTTCCATGGGGGAGTTGGCCCAGGATGGGCTCCGGGTTGGCCCAACCCCACCCTTGCATGGCGTGGCCTCCTCCCCCAGTGCCATGGCAAAGTTTGCAGGCCCCCGGCTGCCCCTGGTGATGAAGGCGCTGCTGGGCGCACAGAGCAGTGTGTACGAGGCCCAGAGGGTCACCTCCACAGCCTTCCTGGCCGAGGTAGGTGCTGCTTGCTCTGATGGCTACCAGGGCCCTGGAGGGAGGGCAGCCCCCACAGGCTGGCACTGACCTGGCTTTGCCCAGCCCCCAGGGCCACGCCTGGTGCCACCCCTGCTCTGTGCCAGTAGCACCGACAGTGCTGACGACTTGCCCAGGCCACGCCATGGGGCCGGGTGGGCTGGGGCCAGAAGGTGGGAAGGAGGACAAGGGGAGGCCTTTAGCCTAGCTTGGCCCTTAGCTGACCTTTGCAGCATCTACCTCACAGTGGCCTGGGACTCGGCTACCCAGTGCACTGGGGAGCGTTGGGGAGGGGGCTGTTGGGTGGTTGGTGCAGCCCTGAGGGGTCAGGCCAGGGAGTGAGGCCCTGGGAATAGGTCACACTCCCCTGCCTCCAGCTGCTCACCAGCAACGTAGTGAATGACCTGATGCTCCTGGAGTCGCTGCTGGACAACCTGGCCGCCCGGCAGAAGGACCCGTGTGCCAGTGTACGGCGGCTGGTGCTCCGCGGCCTGGCCAACCTCGCCTCCGGCTCCCCCGATAAGGTGAGTTGCCTGCCAGCCCCTGGGGTCGACTGTGAGGGACAGTGGAGCTGTGGTCCGAGAGACCCAGGCAGATGTGGGGGGTGTGTGTGGAGACTGCCTGGTGCACGGGGTCTAGAGATTCTGTGAACCGTGCGACAGGCCCCAGGGCTTGGTGACCTGGGGACACAGCTGAGTGCAGGGCGTCCCCAGGTGCGGGCCCACGGCCCCCAGCTCCTGACAGCCATGATCAGCGGGCTGGACGACGGGGACGGCCCGCACAGCCTGGTGGCCCTGGAGGCCATGGCAGGCCTGGCCAAGCTGCTGGGCCTGGTGGAGCCTGAGGACCTGCGCGCGGTGCTGCTGCACACGGCCATCCGCATCCGGCCCTTCTTCGACAGTGTAGGTGGGCGGGGACGGGGAGGGAACCCACTCCCAGCCCTCCTGCCTCTTGAGCCTCAGTTCCTGCCCCACCTGCTCCCTGGGTCACCCTGGCTCCCTCCCAGAGAGTGGATGTGGCCTGGGAGGCCCAATGTTATGCTGGCCTGGCTCCACCTCTGCTCCCGGTGTCCGCCTGTCAGGCCCCTGGCAGGCGGGCAGCACCCACAGCACAAGGACAAGGATGTGGAGGGGAAGGGCCCAGGGCTTGGTGCTGTGGTTGGCAGGGCTGGGAGTGCCCGGGGGTGACACCTATGTCCCCGCAGGAGAAGATGGAGTTCCGCTCTGTGTCCATCCGCCTCTTTGGGCACCTCAACAAGGCCTGCCATGGGGCCTGTGAGGACGTCTTCCTGGAGCAGGTGGTGGGGGGGCTGGTGCCCCTGCTGCTGCATCTGCGGGACCCCCAGGCCTCTGTGGCTGCTGTGAGTGGCCGGCGGGGGAGGGGAGAGCCAGGTGGGGCTGGGACGGGCAGGGCACTGAGTGCTGCCCCGCAGGCCTGCAGGTTTGCCCTGCGCATGTGCGGCCCCAACCTGGAGTGTGAGGAGCTGGCTGACGTCTTCCAGAAGCACCTGCAAGACGGCCGTGGCCTGCACTTTGGCGAGTTCCTCAATGCCGCCTGCAAGCACCTGGTGAGGGGGTGGGTGTGGGAGGTGTGAACTGCGTGGGTGTGACCGTGTGGGGTGCGCCTGACTGGCCGGCCGGCCTCTGCAGATGTGCTACTTCCCGGACCTGCTGGGCCGCCTGGTGAGCACCAGCCTGTTCTACTTCAAGAGCAGCTGGGAGGACGTCCGAGCGGCTGCCCCCATGCTCACAGGTGAGTGTCCTCCTCTCTGACCCTCCCCAGAGCCTGACCCTCCCCCTGACCCCAGCCCCTGCCCACAGGGTTCCTGGTGCTGCATGTGGAGCCCCAGCAGCAGTCGCAGGTGGACCTGGAACAGCTCACTGCCGGTGAGCAGCACCCCCTCCCCCGCCAGGTTAGGGCCCAGGGGCCCCCTGCCACCCCCACCTGTCTGGCTGCACAGGGCTCCCACTGACCCTGTGGGCACCAGGGGGGACTAAGTGATTTTCCTGGATTTCAAGGATTTTTTCCCTGTCACTGGTGACCTCATCGTCTCTAGTAATTCACGGAAACTTCTTAACTGTTCCAAAAGAGCTTAAAAAACACTAAAAAAGGAAAAACTATCTTTCCGTTGGCTCCTGAGCCCTCCCAGCAGAGGCCTGTCTTAGGAGGGTGGTAGGCGGGTGGCCCCACGCACCGGGTGGGGAGTGCTCCATGGGGTCCTGCGCCAGGAAGGGGGTGGGACAAGTCCTAGCACTGCCTGAGTGGGTCCCTGGCTCAGAGTCAGTTCTTGAAGGGCCACGGAGGCGCCCCAATGCAGCTTCCTGTCCCCCAGCCCTGCAGCTCCTACTCAAGGACCCAGCCCCCAAGGTGCGAGTGAAAGCTGCCGAGACTCTGGGCCGCCTGGTGAAGTTCGCCTGAGGCTCCGGCATGCTGCCCCCGACAAGCAGCACCGCCAGGGCTGGCCTGGGCCTCAGAGTGCCTGCCCCAGCCACACGGGACCAAGCAGGGCGGGCAGTCTGTGCGGCCCCCCCACCCCCACCCCGGCTTCCAATAAAGCTGTTCACTCCTCAGCAGGTGACCAGGGGTGCAATGCGTGGCCTTTCCTTGTGGGACAGGCCAGCTGGTCCCCCACTGGGAAGACTGAGTGTGCGAGGTGTGGGGGTCGCTAGTCAGGAATCAAATGCAAGGCCACACCACCAGTCGGGGGAGAAGCGTCTCTATTGAGGGCTCTGAGCCAGTGCCTGGACCCAGCACAGACAGGGCTTCTAGGAGAAGAGGCGGACGGTGCCATCAGCCCCTGAGGAGAAGACCCACGGCTGGGTGGGGTGGAAAGCAACATCCAGCACGCCCAGGTCTCGGGTCAGCTTGTGCCCCCTCAGCACCTTCACTGGCACCAGCAGGGGGTTCTGCAGCAGGTCGCTGTGGGAGAGGGGAGGGTTCAGACAGGGGCAGTCCCCTGGGGGGCAGTCCCCTGGGGAGACAGTCGTCAGCACTCACTTGTACACCATCCCATGGCAGACAATGACACTGCCGTCGTCGGAGCCGGATGCAAAGAGCGGATACCGGGGGTGGAAGGCCACTGCCCGCAGGGCCTTCTTGTGGTGCCTGGAAAGGGGACCTGATTGAGGGCAGGCCGGGGAAGGGGGTATGGGGGACGGCCCAGCGGATGACAGCCTCCCGCCCATGCACGCATACACACGCACATGCACGCACACGCGAGCACAGGGCCTCACCTCAGCACTCGGTAAGGCTTGGTGGAAAGGTCCAGGTCAAACCACACCAGCTTGCTGTCGTAGCTGCCGCAGATGAGGTTGTCACCTGGGAGCAGACATGGTGGTGGGAACCTGGTGCCTGGTCATGCCACCCAAGGGGTGCGTCCTCCATGCCCCACCCCTCACCTGCAGGGTGCACAGCCATGCTGGACACCCACTTGCAGTTGGGCATCAGCTTCTTGGTGAGCTCCTGGCGCAGCAGGTGGTACAAGCGGACGCTGCGCTGGGAGGCCACCAGCAGGAAGGGCCGGACGGGGTGGAAGGCCACACGCTGTACCTGCCCGTGGCTGCGGCGGAAGGGGCTCTGGCTGCGGCGGCGGCTCAGCTGATGGATCAGCACTTGGGTGTGGCCCTGGGTGGCCAGCACCACGGCCATGTAGTCCCCACGCCCATGCCAGGTCACCTGGGTCACCGGCTGCAGGAAGTGAGGTTGGCTGAGCAGGCCCTCCTCTGCCCCCCGCAAACCCACAACCCACGCCCCTCATCCTCCCATGCCCCACACCTTGCCGTGGCAGATGCGCAGCCTCAAGCCCCCCTGGCGCTCCTCCTCTGAGGCTTCTAGCCAGCGGGCGGGCTGCAGGGCAGGCTCCTCAGGTGGGGTGAAGGTGCCCAGCAGCTGGTCCGTGCTGCCCACTACCAGCCGGTCCCCCAGGGCTGGGTTCAATAGCAGCACCGTGTCCTCCCTGCAGGCAGAGCCAAGCGTGGCCACTCAGACAGGCAGTCCCTGCTGCCCGCCCCCTTTCCCCACCCAGCCTCGCACTTACACAGCCACGGCCACCAGGCAGATGGTGGGGTTGGGGTTCCATGACACACTCTTCACCACGCCCCCCACAGGCACAGTCCTCATGCAGCGGGCAGTAGCTACCTCCCAGAGCCGCACGGAGCCATCATCTGAGCCTGGACACAGCAGATAGACCCTCAGCACCCACCCTCCCAACCAGGCTCCCATGTTGGGGTTCCCCCACTTTAGGCCCACCTGAAGCCAGCCACTGGCCCCCAGGGGAGACACTCAGGCAGCGGACGAGGTCGCTGTGGCCCCTGTAGACCTGCAGGGAAGGGGCAGTGAGGACATGGACAGCTAGCTCCCAGGAGTGGGCTCCCCCCGCCCCCTGCTTACCAGGGCCTGGCATGTGGGGAAAGGCTGCAGGTCCCGTGGGCGAGGCAGTTTGGGGATGAGGTCTTCAGGGTCCACATTCACCTGAGGCAGGGAAGCACACGGTCATCTTGTGTCCCTCCCTCCCCAGACGCCCCCACCCAAGAATCCCGCCTCCGTGTACCCTCATCTTGCGCTGCCGCGGGCACAGATAGAGATCCAGGCAGCGCTCAAAGCGCTCATGGATGAAGCGGCCATAGGCAGGCACGGCCCGAAGGCTTGGGAACTTGCGTGGCAGGAAGTTGAGCTTCCGCTCACTGGGCTCCTGCTGCTCCCAGGCCAGGCTCTGTGGACACAGAGACGGGGGTGAGCTGGGGCCAGGGCCCAGGACACAAACCCCACCTGAGCCAGACCCACCTCCTCCTCGCTGGGCAGGTACTCGGGGGGCGGGTTGTAGGACTCGGCATGGCCCGGCAGGGCCAGCTTGGGCGCCGGCACATGCATCTTGTGACGTCCCAGCACGGCATTGGGGTCCTCCTGAGCCCACAGGTCATAGAAGCTGGGGGCAGGGTCACGGGGCCGGCGAGGCTGGATCCAGCCCATCTTGATCGCGTGCACCATGCGCGACACCTGCAGACAGATGTGGTCAGGGCAGGGCAGGGCAGGCAGTGTGGCCGCACCTGGAGAAGGGCACCCACCTTTTCCTTCTCCACCAGGGATGGGATGAAGCTGCGCTTGTCAGCGGGGCGGTTGGTCACAGGGTGGATCATGAGGTCCCCACTGAAGAAGTCCACAGCCGGCTGGGGAGACGAGCACAGGCTGTGGCCAGGTCCCTACAGTGTCCCGACCCCGGGGCCAGCCACAGCCACAGCCACCTACCTCATACGGGTCAAAGCTCGCATCCCCAAACTGGCCCCTCTGCAGCCGCTGTACCAGGGCCACCTGCTCATCTGTCAGCCGCACGTCGTGCCCCGTCATCCGGTCCTGCACTGTGCGCCTGGGGGACCACCCATCAGAGCCCAGCTCCCAGCCCCCATCCCTCATCCCCCATCCTGCCCCCCAGGCTCACCAGTAATCAGGGTCATCCATCTTGTCCAGAAACTGGTCCAGCTCATCGCGGGTTCGCACGGGCTTATAGATGCGCCTGCCATCCAGGTCATAGCCCACGTGTGGGAAGTCATCGTACCACTGCAGGGGCACGTTGCCCACCGTGTTCCGCACGTCCTAGGGCAGCAGGCAGCAGGTCAGCACTGCAAAGCCATCGTGCCACCTCCCCCGCCCTTTTCAAGCCCCTCAGAGACAGGCCGGGGGGAAGGGCGAGAACCAGGGGACAGGCCTCAAGGCAGGACCAGGCACCCCGACACATGCCTGCCCTGGGCGTGACGTGGCACAGGGGCCAGGCTGCCCCCCTTCAGCCCAGAGACTCCGGAGCTGCACCTCACATTTTCCACTGAAGTGGTGCCGACCCTGAGCCCCCCCGGATTCCCTGGCCAAGGCTCTGGAGCCACAGACAAGGGTGAGCTCATCGCGTGGGCTCCCTCCCCTGGCAGGGCCTTAAGCAAAAATGGGCAGCCACAGGCAGGGAAGACCCCGCCAACCCCTCCAAGGGGAGGCAGAGGCCACTGCATGCTGCCTATAGGCATGCAAAGACCCCCCAGCTACCCCCATCCTGTCCGCCACCCCCTATGGGCAGAGCAGCTGCATTCCTGGACACACATTCCTGGTCGAGGCCCCTGCCAGCCACCACCCTCCCTCCACCCAGCACCGAGACTGCTGCCCAGGCGCCGCTTCCTGCAACAGTAGCCACAGGGGGAGGGGCCCAGAGGAGAGTGAGCCCAGCTGGGAGCCCAGGCCCTTGCAGGACAGAACCCTCTGCACCTGCCCACCGGCCTTAGCACTCCCAGCACCGGCACCCGTGTGCCCGTTCAGTGCCAGGAGCCCCTTCCTTCTCTGCACAGGGTGGGGCCTCCAGTGCACGGCCATTTCTGAACTGGACAGATTGGGGGGGGGGGTGCGGATCCAGGGGCAGGGGGTGTGGAGGGGCATTCAGAGGCTTCTCCAGAGAAGAGGCATGAGCCAGGAAAGGGGGGGTGGTTTCCAGGCAGAGGACACAGCTTGTGCCAGACCTGGAGGGTACAGCTGATGCCAGGTGGGGGCAGGTGCAGAGGAGGCTGTGTGCCACCAGGGGACCCCACGTGTAAATGTTAGGGGGCGTTGCAGGAACTGGGGCTGAACTGTAGCTCCTCAATAATCCTCTGTGGCCCCCCCCCACCCCCCGCACTCCTGGCACAAAAGGCCCAAGTGTACATGGGAGGGAGAGACAGACAGGGTGTGGCCAGGCGCCTGGGCCAGGGCAGCTGGGTTAACTTGGTCATGCCAGAGAAAAAGGCTGGGGTCGTGGGCCCCCTTTGACCCTCCTGCCCGGCTGAGAGGGCTGCACAGCACAGCCCCAGATCCACCCAGAAGGGGGCTCCCACTTTCCCGCATCCCCCGGAGGCAGCAAGATGCTCCGGGCCACGCCAGTGCCCCTTCAGCGCGGCGCCGGGAGGCAAAGGGACGCAGGGCCCCAGCTCCGCGGCCTCCAGGGGCGGGGCGGCGGGAGGAGGGCGGGGCCGCGAGGGGGAGGGGCCGCCGCCGCTATAAAGGCCGGGCCCGCGGCCCCACTCCAGCCCGGGACGCACACGTGCGCGCGGTGCTGCAGCCGCCACCGTGGGCGCCCCAGACGCGCGCCTCCCCGGCCCGGGCGCCTGCCCACGAGGCTCGGCGGCATGCGCTGCGCGCGGAGGAGCTGACGGCGTGCCCGCCGGCCCTGCCCCTCACCATGCTGCGCTCGGCGCCGCCCGGCCGCTACCTGTACCCAGAGGTGAGCCCGCTGTCGGAGGACGAGGACCAGGGCAGCGAGAGCTCGGGCTCCGACGAGAAGCCCTGCCGCGTGCACGCCGCGCGCTGCGGCCTCCAGGGAGCCCGGAGACGGGCCGGGGGGCGCAGGACGGGGGGCGGCTCGGGCCCCGGAGGACGGCCCGGCCGGGAGCCCCGGAAGAGGCACACGGCAAACGCGCGCGAGCGGGACCGCACCAATAGCGTGAACACGGCCTTCACGGCGCTCCGCACCCTCATCCCCACGGAGCCGGCCGACCGCAAGCTCTCCAAGATCGAGACGCTGCGCCTGGCCTCCAGCTACATCTCGCACCTGGGCAACGTGCTGCTGGTGGG